CCGTTTCCTTCTCCAGTGTGTCCCCATTTTACAGATGAGGAACTGAGGCAAATCAAGGTGAAGTGACCTGCCCAGGATCACACAGCCAGTAAGTGTCTGAGATAGGATTTGAATTCAGATCTTCCTGACTCCAAGCCAGGTGCTCTATCCACTACACACTGAGCTGTCTGGGCCTGGCACATAGTAGGTGCCACATAAATGCTTATCTTCTAACTGCCCCCATCCCTACTAAATTTCACTGTGTCAGACCCGGCTTGCCTTTCCATTCCAGTTCTTAGCGGCTCTTCGGGTTCTTACTCTGTCAGAATCTAAAGCTGTTAGCTCATCTTCCCGCCTTTGGGACAAATATTTAACTGAAGTGGTAGCGATTTTTCCATCTTTGTGCCACCCTGCCACAGAAGTGGCTGGCCCATGGTAAGCACGCACCTGTTCCTTTCTCCAAGTCACTGACAAGAGGGCAAAGTGCCTCGTGACCAGAACCGTGCCTGAAGACTCTTAGCCAGACTCCCCAGCTGGCATCACACCATGACTTGTCGCTCAGCGGAGTCACCCTTGAATCTACCTAATTAGCATTTATACACAGCCCACACCTCTCCATTTATCCCATAAAGAACAGCACAATAGATGTTACTGACAATCTACCAGAGTCCCCTTAGCCAGCATCCAGTGACTCGGTCAAAAAGCGAATGGGTTTGTGAGCATGACTTCTTCTCCATGACGCCAGGTTGAGTTTTCTGGTCTCAGTGTGTTCTTCCAGATGGTCACTGACTATCCCACAATAATAGAGTCTAGAATTTTGCTGACAACTGAAAGTCAACCTCATTGGGCTACAGTTGGTAAGTGCCATTCTCCTTCCTCTTTTGAAAATCAGGGTGGCTGACCTCAGGCTTATGTCTCCTCTCCCAATAGCAATCACACACACCCAAGGGGAAGTCTGTCTGGGCTGGTGGCTTGGGCTGGCTAAGTTCTCTAATTATATTCTCATTTATCCTGAGATTCAACTCTATCTTAATCACTTTTGTTTTGCTCTATTTTATAGTACTAGAACCTTTCTCCTTTAACAGAGAAAACAGAAGCAAAATAGGAGTTAATTCTAGCTTCCCAAATGGTCTGCTACCAATACCCCATACATCTAGAACAGTGGTGCAATCCACTTTGGGAAAGGCCTATCTCTGGAGGTGGTGAGTTTCAACAACGGAGGCCTACATGAACAAGCTTGATGACAGATCCCTGCTTAAAAGGAGTTTAGATAAGGTGATCTCGGGGGGGACTTTCCAGCTCTGAGATTCTATGACTCTATAAAGCACTTGGATTACAAAATTTCGATTTTAAATGATCAAGTTATTAATGGACAATGGATTTTTAGTGTCATTACCAGAAGCCATTAATTACAGTTTAATAATATTATTATATAATAGAAGTTAGCTGATTCTAGAGAAATAATAATTACCTTCAATAGATGCCTTAATTTGCTTTCTGCCTTTCTCCAAATTTCCCTACTAGTAAGCATTAACCCAAATGCATTAAAAGTAAGACATTCTCGATTGGTCTGATGCTAAGAAAATAACTTAAAATGTCCATTCCATTTGACCCAAAGATCTCAGATAAGTCATATGTGCCAAGGAGAGGAATAAAAAAAAAGCCACATACACCAAAATACTTATTGTGACATTTTTGTAATAGCAAAAACTGGAAATAAATAGATGCCCACTAATGAGGGAATGGCTAAACAAAGTGTGGTATGTGAGGGGCAGCTAGGTGGTGCAGTGGATACAGCACCGGCACTGAAGTCAGGAGGATTTGAGTTCAAATCCGGCCTCAGACCAAACACTTGACACTTACTAGCTGTGTGACCCTGGGCAAGTCACTTAACCCCAATTGCCTAAAAATAAAAATACAAAGTATGGTATATGAATGAAATGAAATGTTACTGGACTTTTAAGAACTATGGCTGAACAAAAAAACATTTATTATGCACCTACTAGATGCAATGCCCAGTAATAAAAATGCAGAAAACCATGGGAAGACTTCTATGAACTGATGCTAAGGAGAATAAACAGAAACAACAGACACAGCCATGAAATTAGAATAACCGAGCTTAACCCCCAAAAAAGAAGTATGAGAATGCATCACTCTCCCTCCTTCACAGAGGTCAAAGGGGCAGAACATCACTACACAGAATATCACACTTGGCCAATGTGGTAGTTGTGCTGAATTGGGCTTTTTTATTCTTTTCCATAAGGGATGGCTCTTCTGGAAAGGGATAATTCAGAAATCAACATGATGCAAAAGGTAAAATATATATATATATATATATATATATATATATATATGTGTGTGTGTATACATACATACACACACACACACACACACACACATATATATATTTTTTTTGGTGAGGCAATCGGGGTTAAGTGACTTGCCCAGGGTCACACAGGAAGTGTCAAGTGTCTGAGGCCAGACTGAACTCAGGTCCTCCTGAGCTCTATCCACTGTGCCACCTAGCTGCCCCAAAAATAATTTTTAAAAGGTGATGCAATCCAATGCTCTCCCCAAGACCACAACTGTTTGCTTCTTACAGAAGCTCAGGTTACGGGCCTTGCAGCACGATCTCTGAGACAAAGAGGAGAGAGCCACGGTACCCAGTTCCTTCTCGCATCGGCTTTCTTACTCGTTTCTACCCCAGAAATCTGACAAAAGTTTGGTGGACAGTCTTAAAAGCATCCACTACATGTTTTGCTGTGTAAGTATTGCATCGTACAGGATTATAGATTTCAGGCTATAAAGGACCTTTGAGGTCACTGAGTCCAACTTTACAGATCAGGACATGGAGGTGGAAAGAACAGAAGTGACTTGGGGGCGGGCAGTGGAGGGGGTCCTCCAGGGAAGCAGCCAAGGGACAGGTCAAGCCCAGGTCCTTGGACTCTGCCCACTGAGCCAGGAGACCCCAATTAGTGAGTGTTTCACAGTTCTCAAAACATTCTTACAAACACTATTTCATTTGATGATCTATACAACTCTCCTATGTGGCAGAGGCAATAGAGATTGTTAACCCCATTTTACAGGTGAAGAAACTGAGGTTGAGCAGAGACAAACAGCATGTCTGAGGTCACAGACCTATTAAGAGATAGATGGACACACGCCCTTTGACCCAAGCCTTCTGAGTTCAAGTCCAGAGCTCTCTTTACTTCATGTCACATTTACCAAGTGAGAATATAATTCGCCAAAACCAGGGAGTTAAAGGATTACATATATATAGAGAAAGACAGAGAGAGACAGAGAGAGAGAGACAGAGAAAGGACCACGACATGACCACAGAGCCATCTCGATATTGGCATCTACACTGGCAGCGAGGGGGCGCCACAGTGCACAGAGCCCTGGGTCTGTAGTCCAGAAGGCTTGAGCTCCAATCCAGCCTCAGACACTAACTAGCTGTGTGACCCTGGGCAAGTCATTTGACTTTGTTTGCCTCATTTTCCTCATCTGTAAAAGAGGAATAATAACAGTACCTACCCCCTCGGGTTGTTGTGTGGAAATAGCAGATGATACCTGAAAAGCACTCTGCAAACCTGAAGTACTACATAAATGCGAGCTTGTATTATTATTATTATTACTATTATTATCTAAGTAAGTGTTTCTGTCTGTCTTAGCATCTGCTTCACAGTCTTATCAAGACAAAAGAAAAAAAAAGGCCCAGTCCTATTCACTAATAGTTTTAAACAGAGGCTCTATCTACTACTGTCAAACAGTAGACGCCAGAACCAGGAAAATAGACATTTTAGTGTTCTTGGCCTGCCATGTTGAGAAAAGAGTCTGAAGGGGAAGACAACTGAAAAATGAAGCACAAGAAAACGTTCTTACATATCTCATTTTCTCCTTTCCTCATTCATTTTTCTGTCATGCACCCGTTAAATTTCTTCTTTTACATGACAGGTCAGGTAAACTAAACATAACATACAGGAAACTTTTGATTTAACTTTAGTCATTTGATTTTTCTCCCTGCTGAAAAATGGTTTTGTATCCTTGGAGCCAATTTTCAGCTTAAAAATTAATTGGCAGTGAAAATTAGTCATAAGCTATTGACCACTGTATCTAAGCTCCAGTTAAAAACATCATCCTGTTTTGTTTTCTAAAAAAGCCAAGAGCAGATCTGGCATCGAATGACAATGGGCCGAGGGTTCTTCCAAGCCTTAGCTCCCACCGAGCTAATTCTCTTGATGTTCAGCAGCATTAGTACCACTGGCCAGGAGAGCTCAGGAAATGTTGCAGCGGTCCTCAGAGAAACCAGAAAAATGAACAAGTGTAAGGATAATGAGAAGAAGTGAGAGCGACCTGTCTCAAATATCCTTTAAGCAAAACAGATCTGGAAGTTTCCTGGAAGCTAACAATCTACTTAGTCAGAATCCAAAAATACCATTTTCTCTTTTAAAAATCAAAGAAGCCCTTGGACTAACAAGAAATAATGCACAATTTGGTTTGATCAAATCCTTCATTAGTTTTTTCCTCTACCCCTAAGGGATTGCCCTTTTAAAATCCTCTTCAAATAGAATAGAATCTAATTGCTTGCACAAGGTAGCCGTTGCAGGAGGATTTCTATTTCAACAGTGCCACCTAGTGGCCCACTGGGTCCCCAATTAGTCACTCTAGGCAGCTTTACTGGGCTACACCTGAAAAGAAAACCTCTTTTAGTCCATGTTTCTCTATTTGCTTTTTGCAATTCACCACAAATTCTATCAATACAGTTAACATATATGTGCGTATGCATATACACATGTGTATACATACATGCACGTGTATGCATGCGCATGTATGTGTGCGTGTATATGTGTGCGTATACATATAAACACACACAGAATAGTTCAATAACATAAAAATTTCCAACTGCACAGGTGGCCATCTTTTAACAAGCGAACCCTCAAAAAAGCCCATACTCATTCACTTCTGTCACTGCAGCATTTAAAAGCTGAAAGGACACGTCCAGAACAAATGCTGACCGTTACCTTGGTGATTTCTTCCGAAGCGCGCTCAAAGTCTTGGATGTTTCTACAGTAAAATCCCACGGTACAACTAGGGTCCATTTTTCTGAATGACATCTTTTTTGGAGAAGGACAATGAAATGACTGCAACAGGAGAAAAAAATTCCTTTAGGAGATTAAAGAGACACACTTTCTTTTTATGGGTTTTCCATAACGGTGGGAACCATCCTCTAGGTTGGCTAACACGCCCACGCTTCCTGTGTCTCAGACTTTAATTCAAAACAACCAAACCTTTCTGAACCTGTCCTGTTCAGGCCCCCACTCTCTCCAAAGCACAGCACTACACAGCTAACACTGGATGCAGATTCAATTCCACACAAGTCTGCTTTATTCATTATTAATTATTAGTGTCTTCTTGCAGAGTAAGGGAAATGCACCTCCCCAAAAGAGTCTGCAGTCCTAATAATACTGTTCCTACTGCTATTCCTCAGCACCTTTCACACAAGCTCTCTCCCCACTGCCTGGAAAGCCCTCCTCTTCCTCCTCCTCCTCCCTCTCTTCCTCCTCCCCCTCTTCTTCCTCTCCTTCTTTCCCTCTTCTTCCTCTCCCTCTTCTTCTTCTCCTTTCCCTCTTCTTCCTCTCCCTCTTCCTCCTTCTCTCTCTCCCCCTCCCCCTTCTCCTCTTCTTCCTCCCCAGATCCCTCCTCCTCCACTTTCCATTAATTAGGCACTCAATACATACTGGTTACATAGAATTACATCGGCAGGCGGGACACCTATGCAAGAATTCAGACCACATGTGAACACAACCAGTCAAGGACGGCATGTCCCAAAAGTCTTAGTGCCATATTCAGCTTCAGTAGTTTAACACGGCCCTAAGACTCTCGGGACACCCTGCATTTAAATCACCAAGTTAGATCATGTTAAGTGAACATCTGAGACATTTCATTCCACCATATGAAGCTGGAAAGTTTTAAAGCCCTTCGGTAGAGCACAGAGGCAGGCACAAAACAGATTCTCAACGGCACCTAATTTATTAATGGATTTGTTTAACAAGACTACATGATATACCAGTCCCAAGGAAACCAATCAACTTCCCGAAACAGACAATTCCTACACAAGCAAGCCCCCACTTCCTGAGCTCCTAACACACTTGAGGAATTTCAGGCTCTCTGTGGACATCAATGGAGGGCTGGAGAAGGAACAGAGAGAGAAGAATGCCTCCCTTCGTACACCTCCTCTCCCCCTTCCTTCTGCTGCCCAGGACAGGGAGCCACTTCGCCCTCTTCCCAAGCTGCTCTGCAGGAGGCTCTCCTGGGCTCCCTGTCTTAGGTGCTACCAGATATTCTTGGTAGACAGACTCCAATTCAATCCACGGCCCGAGGGCAGAGGGAGAAGATGGTTCACAAAGACCCTGGGGCAGGTGGTTCACATATGAGCTCTAGTTTACAGCCAGGTAACTGGTTTGCCACCTGAGCCAAAATGTTAGCTCTCTCTCCTGACTCGAACTCCAATGCTCTTCACCCCACCAGACTGTCTCTCAACTTCAAGTGTTAGCCTTCTGTTCAAATTATCTAAAATCATTCCAAACAGGGAATTTTAGTGTATGGACAACTTTCCCTAAAAATGCAAGAATTAGCCTAAGAATTAACCTAGTTAAGAATGAACCTGGGCTATTTTTAAACTCACAAACTCAAAGGGTGACAAGACCACATACTCGATGAGGAACTATTTAATAGCCTAATATTTGGGTGTTAAAATCAATCATTAAAATGTCTGAAATTCTGGGTTCTTAGATACCCAATAGTCAGCGGAACCTATGGATACTACGAGGCTAGTGAGCTTCTTCCTTATCTAATGAGTGGCCCGTGTGCCCGTATTCCAAGTACAAAACACACAAACACACATGCTTTCTTTGGTTAAATCACTTCAGCTGTTTGTTAAGACTGATCACATGCCTTGTTCAAAGACGGCAACAGAGACCATGCAAACGAATCCTGGTCTTGGCAGAAAGCTTCGCTAAGATCGCCTCTGTGCAATGAAACCCAACCTGGCTCTTCTGGAAGGGCAAGAGGAGTTTCCAGAGGACCAGGGAACACCCAGTATTCTCCTCAATGGAAATGTCCTAACACGGCTCCAGCTTTTTTATAGGTAAAGCTGTTTCAAAAAAGCAGATCTGTGAAGCACAGAAGTTAAAAAATTATCTCAAGATGTTCACTCCAGGCTTCCACACTGACTTACTAGTACCACCCAGCTTGGTATTTCTTCTTCTATATGTCAGATCCTGCACATAAGTTTACTGACCATTTGACTTATACCCAGCCACAGAAATCACCACCTGCACAATTTATTGGAGAGACAATAATAAGGCATGTCCATCTAATTCACTTTCCTATCTATGGACTGCTTAAGAAGCACCCTGGCAAGGTGGGAAGGGGGCCACAAAGACGCAGGTTCAAGTTCTGCAGTGTGACCCTGGGCAAGTCATTGGACTTTTAGGTTCCTCATGTAATTCCCTAAGATTCTAAGCTGCCAAGAAGGCACCACTCTGCATGGTGGAGGGAGTTTCCTCCTCCAGAAGTTCCTCATGCCAAAGACATCCCAGGCCTTGCCTCTCACCCTATGCCATGCAAACAAAGAGGTGGGATTTGGGGTAGCAGACTGCCCTAAGCGGAGAAGAAAGGCTTAACCAACGTGCAATATTGTGAGAAGGGAGAGAGAGCTTTCAGCTGAGGGAATCAGGGCAGACTTCAAGGAAGAAGTATCAAGAGAGGGGCAGCTAGGTGGTGCAGTGGTTAGAGTATCGGCCCTGAAATCAGAAGGACCCAAGTTCAAATCTGGTCTCAGACCAAACACTTGACACTTACTAGCTGTGTGACCCTGGGCAAGTCACTTAACCCCAATTGCCTAAAAATAAAAAAAAAAAATTTAAAAAGAAGTATCAAGAGATCAGGTCACAGAAAGAAGAGAAAGATTTTCATTTTCATTCAAAAAGTAGCTTATTGGAAACCAGCTGGGCAATGACTGATGCCTGTCCTATCTTAGCAAAGGAAGGTCCTCCTGGAGAGCTACTGTGCTCCAAAGAAATCCCAGGCCCCAACAGGGAGGGAGGGAGGGAGGGAGGGAGGGAGGAAGGAAGGAAGGAAGGAAGGAAGAAGGAAGGAAGGAAGGAAGGAAGGAAGGAAGGAAGGAAGGAAGGAAGGAAGAAGGAAGGGAAGAAGGAAGGGAGGGAGGGAGGAGGAAGGAGAAGGAAGGAAGGAAGGAAGGAAGGAAGGAAGGAAGGAAGGAAGGAAGGAAGGAGGAAGGGAGGGAGGGAGGGAGGGAGGGGGGAAGGAAGGGAGGGAAAGACAGAAGGAAGAGAAAGAGAGAAGGAGGAAGGGAAGAAGGAAGGGAGGGAAGAAGGGAGGAAGGAAGAAAGGAGGGAGGGAGAGAGAAGGAGGGAGGGAGGAGAGGAGGGAGGGAGGGAGGAAGGAAGGGAAGGAGGAAGGAAGAAAGGAAAGGAGGGAGGAAGGGGCAAAAAGCCCACCCACTAGCACTGTTTCATGTCATCCACATTCCAGATGAACAGAGATATCTGGTGGTCTGGCTTCTGATGCCCAGCCTTAGCACAGGTCACTGCCCACCCCTGAAATGCCCTCCCTCATCTTCTCCTCTTAAAATCTCCCATTTTCTTCCCAGGCCCGTTCACATGCGAGGGCACCTTCCCAGTAGTCCAAGCTCACTCAGACTCATCTGCTCATTTACTATAACCTCAACTGGATCGACAGATCCTGGAAAGCAAGGATTCTTTGATCTGGTCTTTGTAGCTTATGGTGCCTTACACATAGCTGGTGCTCAAGATACAACTGCTGGATTAAATTCCATTAGGGAAAAAAGAAGCAGTATAGTCAGTATTGCTTGAATTCACCTAGAAGGTGAATTCTAACCCAAATAGCAAGCACCTATGCTGACCAAGTATTTACACTGGGAGAAACAACATACGATGTTCTTTGGTCTGTTTCAATGCCTTGCTCCTTAGACTGACTTACTATCACCCAGAGGAATGTCAAATGCTAATTTCTTCCAATTGTTTTGATTACTGAAACAATTATATGAACACTGAAATTAAAGTTACTTTCTTTTTTTTGTTTGTTTTATTTTTTTGGTTTTTGGCTAGGCAATGGGGTTAAGTGACTTGATCAGGGTCACAAAGCTAGTAAGTGTTATGTGTCTGAAATCGGATTTGAACTCAGGCCCTCCTAAATCCAGGGCCGGTTCTCTACCTTCTGCACCACCTAGCTGCCCCAGAATTAAAGTTACTTTCAAAATGTTATGGGGTATCATCAATTCAACACTAGGACCTGCACGAAATCGTTCAAACTTGAGGCTGTACCCACAGCTTCTTTTCATTCAGGCAGATTCTGAAGTCAAAGGAAAAAAGACCAATTTATAATTCAGATTGATTTCCATTTATTACAGGCCAGGTCAGTTCTCAAAATATTGTCCAATCAACCATAAGAACTCACCAACTACATTTAGACACAACCCTACAGTACCTGGCTGCCAACTTATACCATGTAATCAAGATGGATTATATCACCAGCATTCAGGAAGTTCCAATTTTTAAAAGCTTCTGTCTCACATTTTAGAGAATTAATGTCCAAAATGTAACCCCTCCTGTGTCGCTTTTTTTTTTTAATTTAAAATTAAAAGCTGCCCTGGATTTGAAGAGCGCCTGCTTATTTCTATGGAGTGGGAACCTGCTCGACTGTCACTCCCACTCAAACAAGTACTTTTTTTTTTGATAAGGCAATTGGGATTAAGTGACTTGCCCAGGGTCACACAGCTAGTAAGTATCGAGCGTCTGTCCTCCACTGAGCCACTGAGCTGCCTCCAAACATGTACTTTTTGTTGTTACATCACACAACTGATTAGTCTGAAACGTTCTAAGGATCTGACCCAAAGCATGTCTAGTTACACACCCTGAGCTTTCATCGTTTAGATTTTCCGGAGCGTTGCTGACGTTTCCTTCCTGACATGTCACTTCTAGCAGGCGCGTGCATCAGCCTCCTCATTTACTTCTACCACAGAGTTTAGCAATATTCACCCCCACTACCCTCTGGATGCAGCAACTTCAGGCTTGAAAAGCGCTGTCCTCACGACAAGCCTAAGAAACAGGTGGTGCAAGCATGGTTCCCATCCTCACATCGATGAGGAACCTGAAGGCTCAGAGACGGTGAGGTGACCACCAACATGACCTGCCCGAGGACACACCTGGAAGGTGGGAGAGCTGGCATGCAGACCAGAGATCATGACTCCAGACCCACTGGTCTCGCCAACATCTCCTGCAGCCAACGTTTTCAGCCCTCGAACTACAGACTGGAGGAGCTGACCATCCAGCCCGGGGTACGAGACGAGGGATGGTGTGTCCCATGGTGCCATCTGCTCACATCTCTCAGAAGCTGCGTGGGGGCTCAGATGTGGCATTGCCCCCAACGCTGGAGCAGCTGACTCAGCACAGACTCGTCCACGTCATGTCACCCCTGCTCTGGCCCTGTCACTGACACCCCTGGCCACCTCCCCGCTTCACTGACAGCAACAAAGCTCACATCTCCATGCCTGGGGTTCTCCTAAGTACCTTTACACCTTTCAGAGGTTCCTCTTCCCTTCCAGGCCAATTCTGATGATCCCTATTAATAAACACGGGGTGGAGGGCACACCATGGGATGCAACCTGGGCCCACTTACCCAAAGCACAGATGGCCCCAGGCCCTATGCCTACTTCAGGATGGACCAGGTATTTGGCTCAGGTTACCGAAAAACCTGACCGCACCAGATACCAACTAGAAATGCCATGCCTGCCTAGTAGGGAAAGACAGGGATGGCAAGGGGTGTTTTCTCAGGAATCAGTAAGGAACGTCAACAGGACAAAACACTTTGGAGCTCCTCTGTTCTTTTGTACTCAGGGAAGTCACAAAGTGCCAATGAAGGCTGGAAAATTTTCTGGTGTTGCATTCCCTCCAATAATGCACAGCCTGGCCCTAACAAAAACCAAAGTCAGGGGGCAGGCAGAAGAAAAAGAAAACCAAAAAAGAACCCTGTCGTAAGAACCTACTGCGCTACAAGGCCGCTTGAGACACCAACCCAGAAGAAGAGAATGGCTCTAGAACATCTCCAGGCCAAACCTCACAGACAAACTCGGCCTACGCACAAATCCAACGCAAATTCCTGGAGGAGGTGAAGCCAGGGTCGTTGTTGTTGTTTTGGCTTTTAAGAGTTAAAAAAAAGTTTTTATAAATGAAATGAGAAGACTGAAGGGAAAAGCGAAAAGAAAAGGAGAGCTATGGAAGGAAGAGTTAAAAAGGAACTGACAGTTTGGTATGAGAAACAGAAAGCTTTACCAAAGCAAGAAACCCCCTGAAAATTAGAACAGATCAAAGAGAAGTTATGGACTCTATGAGACGAGCAGCATTAAAACAAAACCAAAAGACCGGGGAAAAAATCCATACATAGATGTGTGAAAATGTAAGGTACCTCTTCCTAACAAAAACAACTGACCTACAGAAGAGACAAAGGAGAAAAATTTAAGAAGCATGAGACCATCTGAACACCAGGACCAAAAAAAGAGCCTAGACATCATATTTCAAGAAATCTTAAACTGCCCCATATCTCTTGGAACCAGAAGGCAAAGGAATAATAGAAAGAATCCACCTGTCACTCCCTAAAAGAAGCCCCAAAATAAAAACTCCCAGGAACATTGTAGCCAAAATCCAGAGCTTTCAGATTAAAGAAAAAATAATGCAAACGGCCAGGAAGAAAGAATTCAAGTACCAAAAAAAAAACAAAAACCCCCCACAGAACTGTTTCATTATAGAAACAGAAGATTTCTAGGCATTACTGATGAAAAGATCAGAGCTGCACAGAAACTCTGAAGGACAAACAAAGGAGTCAAGAGAAACACAGAAAAGTTAAACGTGAGCAAACAATCACAAAGGACTAAAGAAGAATAAATGTTTACAAGATGATACATGTGTCACCTCTGAATTCAAGCATTATGAAGGGTATAGAAGGGACCTCTGGCCTCAGCAGGCCTGGGAATGATAGGTTATCACGATTTCACGTGAAAAATGGAAGGGGAAGAGAAGCAAAGTATCCTGGAGGGAGGGTGGGGTGGACCAGAGAGGAAGGATGGGGAAAATAATCACATCACTGAAGCACCCAATAAGAATTACAGCCAATCAAGGAGGAAAGGTTTAGGGACTAACTGATACTTGAACCTAACTCATCTGAATTGGTCAAAGTAGGTCCAAGTACACAAACATACACATACAGAATTGAGTGCAGAAATACATTTCACTCAAGATGGAAACAGAAAGGAAGGGCAAGAATAAGAGGGCAGGCAAATTAAAGGAGGGAAGAGTCCCAAGGAAACAAATTCTAAAGGATGTGCAGAAATATTGGGAGAAAATTTTTTTGTGGTAGAAAATAACTGGAACCTGAAGGGGTGCCCACCAATTAGGGAACAGCTGGACAAGGAATGGAATATAAATGTGATGCAATACTGTACTATAGGAAGTGATGAAAGAAACCTGGGAAGACTTGAATGAACTGATGAATAGTGAGGCTGGCAGAAGCAGGACAACAACTCACGCAGTAATAATAAATATTTTAAAGACACACAACTTTGAAAAACTTGGGAACTCTGATCAGTGGAATGATCAACCATGATTTCCGTGGTCTCATGATGAAACTCACTTTCTGATAGAGAGCTGATGCACTAAAGACATGTATTTTTGGACATGGCCAACACAGCATTCATTCTGCCTCACAATATATATTTATAAAAGAAGTTATTAGGGTTTTTTTTCCTTTACTCCTCAAACTGGAAGGAAGATGAGAGGTAGAAAAGGTAGATTTTTGTTGGCTGAAAAAAAATTAAGAAAAAGAAAACAACACTAAAAGCCATCAAAACTCTGATCAACACAATGACCAGTCTGGCCTCCAGGAGAGTGATGATGAAGTGAACCTCCCTCTTCTCTGCAGAGAAAGTAGACCGCAGACTTATAAGGAGGCACACTCTCTCAGACAAGATTAAGATGTGTCCTTGATTCACTTCTTTATCACGAGGGATGGTTCTGATAAGGCAGTGGTTTTGAGGAGTGAAACAAGGTTTAAAAAAAAATAAAACTTATTTTTGAAAGAAAAAAAACCAATGGCACCGTGGAAAGCCCAATAGAGACAAGCACAAACATCACCAGGCATCATTATTAGCCAGTATGCCAGAAGTACTGAAACAGAAGAAGTACTAAATACGCCATTTCCAGCTTCACATCAGGCCCTTGAAATTTACTGATCCATTTACATAATGTGGTTAAAAATAATTTTAAAAAAAACCTGCTAGAGCTAAGAAAACAATAAGACAATGACTTCAACAATGTAAGAGGAAAGAGCAACCCCAAAACAGCCCAAAGAGAATGTGAAAATTCCCAAAAACGAGCCTGGCTCCGAGAGTGATCTGGGAAGACCTCACTATCCCACCGCTCTGCTGAGGGCGGAGGTCCCTGGATATAGGACACTGAATACATTTTCAAAATTTTTGAATGTACTGATCAGTTTTGTTGATTTTTTTCTCTTCTTTTTCTTTGAAAACATTATTTGTTATGGCTCTCTGGAAGGAGAGAGGGAAAAGGACATTGGGGAAAATTTTAGTGATATTTTAAAAATCAATAAGATTTATTTAAAATTTTTTTCAAACTCTGCTAATAGTAACAACATTGAAGACAACAATAATTATGTGTCTCATTTACATACACTCCAAAATTTCTAATTTATGATGCTAGATGGAGTGATAGAGTCATAAAAAAAAAATACTAGAGAGCATGGATTCTTCACTTGGACTACACAAACTTCCTTTTTAAATATTTAGATAATGATTTCAATAGAACTGGTTTCCTTTACAATTTTTATTTTATGCATTTACAAATATTACTCCAAGAAAAGGTCCACAGAGGCTTCCCCAGACTGCTGTCAAAGGGGTCTAGGACACACACAAAAAAGCAAAGAACCCTTAGACTAGAGCAAACACCCAAAGCTAACAATTTAAAACCTTAAAAATTTCTTTTTTTTTTTTTAAAGTGAGGCAATTGGGGTTAAGTGACTTGCCCAGAGTCACACAGCTAGGAAGTATTATGTGTCTGAGGCCACATTAGAACTCAGGTTCTCCTGACTCCAGGGCCAGTGCTCTATCCACTGTGCCACCTAACTGCCCCCTTAAAAATTCCTTTTTAAAAGAAATCAAATTCTAATTAACATACTACGTTTAAAACTAATTAAACCAACATGCTTCTTACTTAACAAGATACATTTTCCTCCCTCAATCTATCACCCCAGACCTTCCCCCACTTTTGCTCTCTTTGTTTTTCCTTTTTTTTTCTTTTCTTTAAATCTGCCTAACACTGTAAGGTCTTTGGTACAACCCAGCTGTCTTTTCAAGAAAATTACTTGGAGTCTTGATCATTTATATTAGGGGATTGGGGGGAGGTAGGGGAGCAGGGAGGTTCCGGTATCCACAAGAAAGAGACAGAGATAAATGAAGTCTTAAGTATATCATAAATTAAAATTCTGCATCAAGTACTTAACCTTTGGTCATTTTTGTTTATTATGGTTTTACCAGGAGTAAAGCAGTGATGAAAGTCGTAACCCTCACACCATCAACACACCACTCCCTGGAACATCTCTAAATAATTAGCATTTGATTCATATGGAAGGAAAGCAGGACCAACTCTTTATCGGTAGTACCTCAAGAGGGAAATCCTTTATGCTGACATCTACAAAAGACTGGCAGTAATGAGGGTCCATGTATATCAAACTGTCATCTACAAGGACAAAACAGAAGACAAGTAATTCAAAAAACACCTTATTATTACACTGCTTACAATCCAATTTCTATGTAGAACAGTTTTTTTTAAACCTCCTACGAGTAACAGCTTGCCAGACTGATATTCATTGACTGAAACATAGGTTTTCACAGGACAGATTAACTTTTGCATAATCAAATATGCTTGTATAAGCAGAATTTTTATAAAGTGATGAGACTGTCATTTAATTTTTGGTGATAAAATTACTTTTACAAACACACAATTATATTCTAGAGTTTGCATATGAAAAATGTATTGTACTACGTTATCCTGACAGGAAGCTCATATTGCTTGTCATTTTAACATCAACTAGCACCACTAAAAACTGCTAAAAAGTAAATCTGTAAATAACACCGCCAGACTGTAACAGCAACGGCTTCGAAGTTTTGTGAAACCATCAATTCTGCCTTGTTTATGCAACAACTGAAATTAAACATACATTTTACAGATTCCAATTACTTTGTGGGGCAAATGACAAATGAGTGGGCTTTAGTGGAGCTGATGAATTAATAAGGCCCTCATTTTGCTATTTTAATCATCTTGTTTCCAAGTGATCCCACATTAACTTCCTGGGTTTTTAAAGAAAACTGAAAAAACACAATCTTATTAAATCACTAACCTTGAAATCCGGCAAAGTAATATGACTGCTTGGGTTTTCCACCAATGATGCCCACACAATATTCAAGGCTTAAAATTCCCTGCCAACAAAAATTAAATTCATATTTAATGAAAGTCAACAGAAAAAATGAAAGTTAATTTTTTAAGGTAACAAAGAAATTTCTACCAAGATTTTAATCAGTGTTATGTTCATTATGCAAATATTATTTACACTGAATTATTTGAAGTAAAAATCAAGACTGAAAAATAAGTGAATACATTTATTTTAATAGTGAGCACTACCATTTCATTTATTGGCTCTACCTAAAGACATTTTGTCCTACGAACCCTAAAAACCCAGGGACTCACAGGATCATAAAGAAAACACTGGAAGGACCATTAGAAGCCACCCGGCCCAACCCCCTCATCGTACAGATGATGAAACTGAGGCAGAGAGAAGGTGCCTAACTCTCCCCTGCTCACACAACTACCCCATCTGGGCCCAGTACTCTCAGCCTCACATTTAGATCAAGTAAAGAGAATAAAAGTGTCAAAACTTCCCAAGCAAGTTTTTAGATTTCACACAAAACCAACCAAAATAACAACAGGTTACTTCTTAGAATGAGTGGAACTAGATGAACTAGTTTCAAAATAAAGCAATGATTATAAAAACTCTCTGGATCCTAAATTCTGTTCCACTGGACAATTCCCCCATTGTTCCAGTACCAATGTGTACAATGTTGGTATTTGATAAAACCATGTTTGAAAATTACAGTCAAAAATAAATGGGGAAAACTGGACAGTCATATAGACAAAAAAAGCAATACTTTGGATCTATTTCTCATACTATATGACATAATAAATGTTAACTGGATAACTGATTAAAATTCTGTTTAACTGTTTTCATTTTAAACTGGAAGAAAAAGGAATGTACCTGCCTCACTTATGAAAGAAAGAAAATCATTAATCAAGCGGAAGCTTTAGAGATAAAACCAATGGGTTTAACTTTTTAAAAAATTTTTTTGTATAACATAAGGCATAAAATGAAAAGGAAGGAAAGAAACTGGGGAAAATATTTGCAGTAAATATAACAGACAATACAAAATCTACAAGGAACTGCTATCCTCCTTGGTATCTGGATATCCGGAAGCTAGGACAGGGTGGGCATTTAAAAGCTGCTCATTGATTGGCTGGTTGTTTCACAGATATTTCCAAGAGTAATAATATACATTCCCCAATAGAGTAAGGTCAAAGTACATGAATAGGCTATTGATGAAAGAAAAAACTATTAACCACAAGAAAAGATGCTCCCCATATTTCCTAATAATCGGGAGAACACAAATGAAGACCACCCTAACATACCAGCTTACATCCACAAGAATGACAAAAATAGCAAAAATTATGAAATTCAATGTTGCTGCAACTACAGGAATATAAGCGTGATAATTCCATTTTTGGTAGGACTGAAGATTAGTGGCCAATATTTCAGAGAGCATTAGAATAATATGCAACCCAAGTGACAAAATGGATTGTAGCTTTTGGCCCTGAAATTCAAAGTCTTAGGACACAATCCCAAAATTATAAAAAAGAAGAAAAGTCCCCATCAGTACCAAAAATATTCATAGGTATCTTATAGGTAACAGGGAAAAAACCAGAGATAATAAATACAATGTATCTATGCACATATACATACATACAACGATTAGAAAGTAATTGAATAAACTATGGCGTGTTAATGTAATGGAATTTGATATTGGTATAAAAATGTGTAAATACTATAAAGAAATATGGGAAGATCTTTATAAATGATGCAAAGTGAAATTAGCATAACAGAAAACAGGTATGTTCTTGACAACTACATTTTTAAAAAGAAAATAAGTCAAAAGTAAGGGAATGCTGACAGAATTGGAAAGCGACTTAGACTCCATTCATTTTTTTGGTTGTTTACTTTCAATTCATTTGGTTTTACTTTGTTCAAGGTTAAGAGTTTTATGTAATATTTTCTTTATTTGATTACTGGATTTTAATTATTGTTAAATTTCTAATATTTTTTAAATCACAGTAACAACTCATAAGATTATGCAATATATCCCCTCTACTTAACAGTAAAAATCCACCTAAGACCTTCCAGTTTTCTATATAATTTACTCTTTAAAATATGCATGAAGAATTCCAATTATATAAAAGACTTATACCATATAAGAAGATCCTACATTCTTTAAGACAGGAATCTCATCATTTTCAGGTCTGCAGTCTACTGTAGAATACGACTAATACTAGGTCAAGTGTCACCAAACCCCAAGAGAACTAACTGGTCATCTCAACCACCGCGCTTCAAACAAAAGAAGGGACATTTTGGTTTAAGAAGAATTTTAAAAAGTTTAGTGTGTGTTCAAAGACCTTAACTAGTCATTGAAAAATAGTTTCAGGAATCTTCCTAATCATCCCATAATTAAGAAAAGTAAATGAGATTGCAAATTTCATAACATCACAGGACTAGATACAGTTATACATCAGACAAAACTACTTCCTGCTAACTAGGTTACTCACCATGAAGGATGCACTATCACCACCAACTTTTTTTCCCCTCTAATCACAGCTTCCCAGCAAATGTGCATAGTTGTGCCTGCCTTTCATTCGAGAGTGAGACTAGACTGTGAGGTCCTGGAGGGCAGGGACCGCCTTTGCCTCTTTTTGTATCCCCAGTGCTTAAGCGAGTGCCTGGCCCACAATAGGCGCTTAATAAATGGTTATGTGCTTGACTGGGAGAAGTTTGATCTTCCAGATCACTTCTCTTTCATGCTGGAACCTATGAAGTAGTGACAATGCTCAGTCCCTCATCAACAAAAGAGAAAAGAAAGAAAACGGGCACCACAGGTCCACGCAGAAAGCAAATGGAGCCATTTGAGATGGTCGGATGAAAGTGATGGCGCTGGACAACGTAATTCCCATGTATCCTTCCTCCGCCACAAGTCAGGGAAGATTCAGCAGGAAATCAGGAGCAGTTGAGGAACCAGAATGCCTGTGAATTCATGGCACCTTGCCTTTGTGAAGACTCCAAAGACTGGCTTCCACACCATGAGAAGGCCTCTTCCCTGTTGCCGGGTGATGGGGATTTACTGAGACACATGCAGGGGGCTGGAGATGGGGCTGAAGTCATCGGTCCAGGAGAGGCCTTGTGTGTTGCACTGCATGAAAACAACACTGGACATCCCTCAATGGGCGACGGCTGAGGAAGCCCCACGCGATGCCAGACAGCCCACAGGGAACAAGACAGTTTCTGAAGTAAGTTAACCTTCTCGTTCTTCCTAAAAGGGGGAGCTCTCTAGGGAATTTCTTTGGTGTTTCATAAAAAGATGAAGGGTGTTGATGGAAGAAGAGGGATGTTAATGGCTACGAACACAACCATCCTCCAGCTATTGGCAAGAACTCATTATGTCACATGCACTGAAATCCCGACTTTTGACTCTCTAGGCTTACTTTTGTTCCCAATCTACCTTTTTCTTTCACACTCTCACGCTGGTTTTTAAACCCTGAGACAGCACATAAACTCAATTTACCCAGGCATCAAAGTTATTTTTTAATCTCAAGTGGAAATTTCTCAAGAGTCAATGTTTTGTAGGCTTTAAGGGTAAAAGGTACAGTTAATCAATTAACCAATAAATACTTATTAAGCACCTACTATGTGCCAGGCACTGTGTTAAGCACCAGGAATACAAAAAGAGATGGCAGACCCTGCCCTCAAGGAGCTTACAATCTAACTAACAGATAAGAATGTTAGGTTGAATAGATGAAAAAGTCTCTTCCCCAAAATTCAACAGATTTTTTTAAAAATCAGCTTCCTTGTCATCTTGTTCTGTTTTTTTGCTTTTAGCTAGGCAATGGGGTTAAGTGACTTGCCCAGGGTCATACAGCTAGTAAGTGTTATGTGTCTGAGGCCGGATTTGAACTCAGGTCCTCCTGACTCCAGGGCCGGTGCTCTATCCACTATACCACCTAGCTGCCCCATTTTCCTTGTCATCTCGGACAACACAACTTCAAACAACAGAACCAATTTGTGGATTACTAAGAAATCATCTTCCGGTCAGGCTAATTAGGAAGTAATCAGTCACTGGTACAGGAAATCTGGTGAAAGGATCAAGCCATGGAAAAACAGATACAGCCACCAAATTATTTACCTTTGCACAGAAAGGGGCTGGTGGTCACGAACCCCAGAATCTGAAAATAAGACAGCACCTCAGCAGCCGGTGGGTCCCAACCATCCTCCAAGGAATCCCCCCATAACATGCCTGATAACGAGCAGCCTTCTGGCTTCTGCAGAGGCCCTCCAAGGATCAGGAACCCACAGACTTCAAAGGTGGCCCATTCCATTGTGGGATGGCTCAAATAACTATTGAGTTTTTCCTGACATAACTGCCACCCATTACTCCTGATTCCGAGGAACATTCATTAATGGGGTGTTCGGTGCTAGCAAGGGAAGCATGTCACAAAACGCCAGCAGCCTTTCATCAACATCGGGTTGTGACGGGCCAACCTTATTTCCTTTCTAACAGAGTTACTAAGTTAGCAGTGGAGAAGGCTGCAGCAGCCAGCGCTGATGGTGCGCCTGGCAAAGCATTCTACACGTGTCATCTCATCTGGTCTTCACAACACCCCTAGGAGGGAAGCACTATTATCATGCCCATTTTACAGCTTAGGAAACTGAGGGTGAGAAAAGTTAGGTGACTTGCCCAGGGCCCCACAGCTGGGAACTGTCTGTGGTGGGATTTGAACTCACGTCTTTCTGATTCCAAGTCCAACACTCAACTAAACCATTCAAGTCCTAGAGATATAGTTTATCTAGACTTTAGCCAAGCATTTGAAAAAATATCTCACACTTTTTTCTGGTGAAAACATGTCGAGATACAGGCTGTATGGTAATAGAATTAGATGACCTCAGGAGCTGGTAGAAAAACCTCGATCCACAGAATACTGATGACAGGTCCAATACCAAGATGGCAGGAGTTTTCCAGTAGCACACTGCAGGCTGTGTGCTGGGGCCCACAGGGATTATCATATTTGTCAATGACATGAATAAGATAGAGATGGCACATTCACTAAATGAGCCAATATAAAATTGGCAGGGACAGTCAACACTCTGGACGGAGTTGGGACACACAAATACCTTCAGAGATGAGAGTCTTGGGCTAGAAGCTGTAGTGTAGTCTTACATGCTTTCCAAAAAATCAGCCTCACAAATATATACCAGGGAAGACTTGAAAGCTCTGGGCATTTCAGTGGATTCTCTCCTATCTATATCTTATCCATACACAGCCGTTTGCATCTTGTCCCCCCCATTAGCCTGGAAAGGCCTTGAGAGCAAGGAGGGTTAGTTTTTCCCTTCTCTGTATTCCCTGTGCTTGGCACAGGGCCTGGCACACAGTAGGTACTTAACACTGGCTTCCAAGAATAAGGAGGCAACAGTTTCTCTGTATTCTGCCCTAGTCAAGCCAAGCCTGAAGCCCTAGGTTCAGCTCAGCTGCCACAGTCTGGCTGGTAGTTGCCCTTCATTCTCAGAGAGGACCAAAATGCCATCACTGCTAGAGTCAAGCTACAGTGCGTCTGACTGTGGCTGATCAGACCAGGATGAGCTTGGGATGCTTTACCACAGGGTGGGCACAAACGGTCCATGTGAACGTTGGGGTGGATTCTGCATACTTGCACATCCCGCCTTTCTTTTGAGCAATTTCAATTCTGCTTTGCTTCTAAAGCACGGCACCTTCTCCGATGAGGCACGCCATGCTGAGCGCCGGTGTCTCCCATGTCATACAATCAGTTCTAAAGTTCTTAGAGGAGACCGTGAGAGTGTCCTTGTATGGCTTCTTCTGACCACCATGTGAAGGCTTACACTGTACGTGATGCTTTCATTAGGGTTGAGCGAGACTGCAGGATACAGCAGTGAGCGCTATTCTCGAAAAACCACTGGGCAGTCAAGAAAACAAAAATTACACTACAGGTAGAAGAGAATTAGACCACGGCTCTTGGTGGAGGGAGAAAGAATTAAATGTGGACCTTGGAAGGGCCACCACACTCCACGTGGCCTGGGGCATAGCCCCTCCACTGCCCAGTCCTTCACCCTGCAGCCCACCTTGGTGGGGCTTCTGGGCCTCAAGGAGGCAAGGCCTCCAACAACAAACACAAAGCCAGGGTCACAAGCTGGAGAACTCTCCAGGAACAGCTGCCCAAACCCAAGAGTCACTTCTGCACCTCAAAGGGCATTAGGGTGAGGCTTTCATGGGAGACGGAGCGGTGTTCAAGTAGATGTGTCCAGCATGCTCATGCAGCCCCAGAACCAGGCTAAAACATCACTGGGGAATATTTACCAAAGTGAGTAAAAATGCTACAGAACATAGGCAATATTCATATGTGGTTTTCTGAGTTGATATGCACCCGACCCACAGGGATCCCATCTCTACATGTGGTTTGGTGGCCCCTGTTTCTATCTGAGCTGGACACCACTGCTTTAAATCAACTGAAAACTCAGAACATTGACCCTGACTAACTAAAGTTAAATGCAGTTTTTTCAGAGTTTTTTTCTTTCCCTCCCACTAAGCATTTCTCCCTGGCATCAGCTTCAGCTGCTAGTTCACCTCATCACCTTCATTGTCTACCTTTATAAAAAGTCATTCTAACCTTTCTTAGTGACCTCATGGTAGCACCAGAAAACAAATCAATAGTAAGAAAAAATAATTTGATGTCGATAGAAAAGTCTGTATTTCGATATCTGATCACTTTCAGGTGGTTTAATTTAGATTTGAGTTATACACAAAGGCATTTATCTACCCCTTTAAAAGTCACAAAGGCAGGCAATCTGAACTGTAACTAGAATTTGTTTGTAATTACTGCTTCTCCTCAGGTAGCTCTCAAGAAAATAAAGTAGATATTTCCACTTTACCACAGAACACTGTGTGCTCTTCAATTACGTCTGATCTCATAATACTGAAATTTAAAATCTCTCAAGTCAAATTTTACAGCTCAGATCTATAAAATCATCACTACACATTTACTAGGAAGACTACTGCCAACCTTTGTATTCTCTCCTGCTGGCCAGTATGGCTGTGTGAATGAATGCTGGAACTCTTCTCTCCTACCTTCACAAATTCTAAGTAGTCCGTATTGGTCCTCTCTCCTCCAAGGCGAACAGGAACTAAGATAATAACAGCTTTGTCTTCTGCATTCTCAGAGCCCGTAGAAATGCACTGTTTGTCAATGACATCAGCCTTGTAAACTGGGAAAAATACAATTAGTATTCATTAGATTTCCACACAAATGACTCCAAGATCATTTTTCTCTGGACTTCTTTTCACTACCCAGTTAAACGTCTCCCTCTATCCCCCAAGACAGCAACAACATCTCAACCTCCTTTTAAGCTATAACACAGCAAGATCCTCAAGTGTCCCCCAAAGACTCCTTGGTATGCAACACCAAGGTCAGTTTTCTTTGACTAACCACGTGGGCTCTTCCAGAGCCTAACTGCTGATTACCAAATACCCCCAACAGGATCGAAACCATCATCTCAGATCCAGACCGTGGAAACCTACTCCACAGCGTTGCCAGTTCTGTGCCTTCGTCCAGGAGGGGACTGAGACACGTATTACAGGACTTCCTACTGTTAGCTTCCACCACCCCATTTCACTTTCTCAAAGGTGTTCAGTGGAAATAACACCATATAATGGAAAGAACACTGGATTTGGAGTCAAGAGTGCCTGGGCTAAATCCCTTCTCTGACCTCCCACTCCGGGTCTTAGCTTCCTCATCTGTTCAGTGAAGGGGCCTGACTGGCTTAACCCCAAAGCCCCTTCCAGTTCTAAATCTATGATGTGATGATGGTTTCTTATCACATCAAATATGAAATTATTGATTCTGGCTTTCTGAGGGCCCCCTAACTTCTACTGATCCATTGCCCCAATTCATTCCAGCCAAATGAATCTCCATTTCTAAAAGGATTCTATTATCTATATAAACTAGCATTCCAACTAATGAGACAATTTAACAGTTCTATTGGCATGCCCAATAGAGAGTGGCACAGAAAACGCCACTGGTTTTCCTTCAACTTCACTGATATTCTCAATTGCCTCAGCACAAGCAATAAACGTTGTTCCTATGAGATTCACAGGCCTCAATAGCAAAATCTTTAAAACCTACTTTAAATAAAAAGAACTTGCATAAATTCAAATTCAACAAACACATATGAAGGAGGGAAAAAACAAGCATTTATTAAGCACCTACTATGTACCAGGCACTGTGCTAATAAGCACTTTACAAACAGTTTCTCATTTAATCCACACAACAAATCTACCTCAAGCCAGATACTGTTATCCAGATGAGGAAACTGAACCAGACAAAGGTTAAGTAACCTGCCTAGAGACACGCTATTAGTAAGAATGGAAGGGCAGGATTTGAACTTAGGTCTCCAGGTCCATGCTCTGTGCATTGGGCCACCATCTCTCTCTATTAACTTATGTCAGGAACTGGGATTACAAAAATGAAAACTGACACAGGAATTTACAATCTATTATGAGGACACAATAACAGCCACGTTGTGTGATGACTAATACTGATAGACTTAACCCTTCTCAGCAACACAAGGATCTAAGACATCTCCAAAGGCCTCATGATGGAAAATGCTATCCACAAAGAAGAAAGAACTATAGAGTCTGAATGCAGATTGAAGCATACTATTTGCTATTTTTTTTCTTCTGTTGTATTTTGTTTCCTCTTTCTGGTGGTTCCTTCTATTGGTTCTAATTCTTATTTACAACATCACTAATGTGAAAATATGTTTAATAGAAATGTATATGTATAGCCTATATCAGACTGCACACCGTCTAGGGGAGGGAAGTGGGTAGGGAGGGGGAGAAAACTTTAAAACTCAAACAAAAGTTTATGGAAGTGATTGTTGATAATTAAAAATAAATTAATAAAAAAAAGTCCAAGTCAAAAAAAAGTCTAATATGAGGATAAAACACACAAATAACTCTAAGTAAAATTAGAAAATAAATCCCTCGGACAGACTGGCTAGAGTAGCCTGAGACATGGTGTGGATCGCTCCTCCATGGATATGGGAAATATGATTATGGAGGAGCCAGGATCTGGCAAGCCACGAAGGAGGAGGTCAACGGCAGAGACGGGAATGAAAGAAAGGTGTGAGGGACATCCATTCCACGTGTGGAGGGCCACATACACAGCAGAGGGGCTGAGATCAGAAAAAGAGTGGTTATTCTACTTGAGATGGAATGAGGTGAACATCCTGAAATGGGGCCAAAAAGGTAGGAAATGGTCAAGTTGTGGAAGGCCATGAAAGGTCAGACAAAAGAATCTGTACTTTACTTAGTAAGCAACAGAAAGCCATTGAATGGTTTTGAGTAGAAGAGTAATAAAGTCTGACCAACTCATTAGAAAAATTATATTAACAAACTGTAGTAGTGTACATGCACAAGAAACATGAGAACAGAAACATTAAAGACCAATTATAAGGGATTTAATAAGGCCATACTGTTTCTTATATGGGAAAACATTATTTGTAACTCTTAAGAAGGTTATCATTACTTGGGAGGTTTGAAAGAGCACACACAGATAGAAGGCTTGGGGTTGAGTTGAGTATGATGAGATGATCCTAAAAAATAAAATTGGGTAGGGAGAGGTAAAATGAAGCAATTATCTCATACAAACAAGCTTGAATGGAAGAACTGTCACAGTGGAGGCAGGAGGGGGTGGAGGGCTGGTAGCATTAGAACCTTATTCTCATCAGAACAATTAAATCAATTAATTAATTAATTAAAAGAGGGAATAACAATATATCTAAAAGACCATAAAATATAAAAGTCTTAACTTGCAAAGAAATAGGAGGGCAAGGGGATAGGATAAGGGAGGGACTCTTAAAAGAGTGTGCAGATCAAGAAATAGGAGGGTAAGGGAAAAGGATAAGGGAGGGATTATTAGAAGGGGTGTGGATTGGGGAGAGGGAACAGTAGTAACAAGTAAATTAGAGCTCTGAGGAGCGACAGGGTAAAAAAAGAGGAAGAGAAGGACAAACAATAAGGAAAAATAGGATGGAGCAAAATACACAACTAGTAATTATAACTCTGAATGTAACTGGGACGAACACACCCATAAAAAAAAAAGATAGCTGAATGGATTAAAAACCAAAATCCTGTCGTTCATAAGAAACACATGTAAAAATGAGATACACAGAGTAAAAATAAAGAGCTAAAGTAGAATTTATTATGCTTTAGCTGATGAAAAAAAAAGTAAGGGTAGCTATCATGATTTCACTAAAGGTAAAATAGTAAATTTAATTAAAAGAGATAAACAGGAAAACTATATCATGATAAAAAGCACTATAGATAACGAAGTAATATTAATACCAAACCTATACGCACCAAATGCTATATAGCATTCAAATTTTTAAAGGAAAAGCTAAATAAATTACAGGTGGAAATAGATAGCAAACTATAATAGTGAGGGCCTTCAACTTTCCCCTCTCAGAACTAGTTAAATCTAATAAAAAAAAATAAGAAGTCAAGGAGATGAATAAAATCTTAGATAAATTAGATATGATAAACATCTGGAAAGAACCAAATGGGAATAGAAAGGAATATACCATTTTCCCAGTGGTACAAGGTACCTTTACAAAAACTGACCATACGTCAGGACATAAAAAATTAGTTAAATGCAGAAAAGCAGAGATATTAAATGCACCCTTTTCAGATCACAGTATAATAAAAATTATATTTAATAAGGACTGTGGAAACACATCAAAAATAAAGAGAATAAACAACTCAACCTTAAAGAAAGAGCAGGTTAAAGAATAAGTCATAGAAATAATTAATAATTTCATTATAGAGTATGACAATGAGACCACAAACCAAAACCTATTAGATGCAGCAAAAGCAGCAATCAGAGGAAAATGTTTATCTCTAAATGCTTACATCAATAAAATAGAGAAAGAGTAGACCAATAAATTGGGTATGCAATTAAAATACCTAGAAAAAGAACAAATTTAAAATCTCCAATTGATCATCAGATTGTAAATCCTAAAAATTAAAGGTGAGATTAATAAAACTGAATGTAAGAAAACCGTCAAATTAATAAATATAACAATAGGAGTTGGTTTTAGGAAAAAACCTAAAATAGGTAAACCATTGGTTAATATGATTTTAAGAAGAGAAAACACTCAAATCACTGGTATCAAAAATGAAAAGGGTGAATATACTTTAATGAAGGTGAAATCAAACAATTATAAGGCATTATTATGTGCAATTATATGCCAATTAATTTAACAATTTAAGTGAAATGGGAGAATACTTACAAAAATATAAACTGCCTAGATTAACAAAAGAGGAAATAAAATATCTAAATGAACCTGTTTCAGAAAAAGAAATTGAACAAGCCATAAATGAGCTTCCTAAGAAAAAAGCATCAGGACCAGATAGACTTACAAATGAATTCTACCAAACATTTAAAGACCAATTAATTCTAATATTAAATAAAGTATTTGTAATAATAAGCAAAGGAGTCCTACCAAATACCTTTTATGAAACAAATATGGTGTTAATACCTACACCAAGAAAATCAAAAACTGAGAAAGAAAATTATAGACTGATTTTATTAATGAATATGGATGTGAAAATCCTGAATAAAATACTAGCTAGAAGACTACAACAATGTATCACAAAGATTATACATTGTGACCAAGTGGGATTTATACCAGGAACACAGCTATGGTTTAACATATTACATCAATAACCAAAGTAACAAAAATCATGCGATTATATCAATACATGCAGAAAAAGCATTTGACAAAATACAACACTCATTTCTATTAAAAACACTTGAAAGCATAGGTATAAATGGATTTTTCCTTTAAATGATAAGAAATATCTACCTAAAACCATTTGCAAGCATTACTTGTAATGGATATAAGCTAGAAGTCTTCCCAATAAGATTAGGAGTGAAGGATGCCCACTGTCACCAATATTATTCAATACTGTATCAAAAATGCTAGCAATAGCAATAAAATAAAAAGAAATTAAAGGAATCAGAATGCGCAATGAGGTAATAAAACTACCTCTTTTTCTGCAGAAGATAAAAGGATATACTTGGAAAATCCTAGAGATTCAACAAAAAAGTTACTGGAAATAATTAATAATTTTAGCAAAGTAGCAGGATATAAAATTAACCCACATAAATCATCAGCATTTCTATATATCACCAGCAAAACCCTGCAAGAAGAGATAGTAAGAAATACTCCATTTAAATTTAAAATAACTGTAAGGAATATAAAATACCTGGGCAATTATTGCCAAGACAAATCCAGAAACTACATGAACATAATTATAAAACACTTTCTATACAAATAAAGTCAGATTTAAATAACTGGATAAATATTAATTGTTCATGGGTAGTCAGAGCCAATATAATAAAAATTACAAGTCTACCTAAACCAATCTACTTATTCAATGCCATTCGAATTAAATTATCAAAAAATTATTTTATTGAGTTAGAAAAAATAATAACAAAATTTATGTGGAAAAACAAAAGGTCAAGACTATCAAAGGAATTAATGAAAAAATGTAAAGGAGGGAGGTTTAGCATTACCATATCTTAAACTATATTATATGGCAAGAGTTATCAAAACTATCTGGTACTGGCTAAGAAAAAGAAAGGTAGATCAGTGGAACAGGTTAGATATATAACACATAGTAGAAAATTATTATAGTAAAACCTTGTGTTCAACAAATGTAAAGATTTGAGCTTTTGAGATAAGGAATCATTATCTGAGGAAAAAAAATTGTTGGGAAATCTGGAAAGTAGTCTGGCAAAAGTTGAGCATAGACCAACATCACCATTTACCAAGATAAGGTCAAAATGGATATATGACCTAGATGTAAAGGGACATATCGTAAGAAAATTAGAACATGGAACATATTACCTATTAGACTTATGGATACGAGGAGAACTTAGGAATAAACAAGAGACGAAGAGCACTGTGAGATGTAAAATGGATAATTCTGATTATATTAAATTTAAAAGGGTTTTTACAAATAAAACCAATGTAGTCAAGATTAGAAGGAAGGCAGAAAATTAGGGGGACAATTTTATAGACAGTTTCTCAGATAAGGATCTCATATTTCAAATATATAAAGAACTTTGTCAAATTTATAAAAATATGAGTCATTTCACAATTGATAAATGGCCAAAGGACAGGAACGGGCAGTTTTTTGATGAAGAAATTAAAATTATATATAGTCATATGAAAAAATGTATAAATCATTATTGATTAAAACAAATTTGAGACATCTCACAGCCATCAGATTTGCTAAAAAGATAGAAAAGGAAAGCAAAAAATGTTAGAGGGGATATGGAAAAATTGGGACACTAATTCACTGTTGGTAGAACTGTGAACAGGTCCAACCATTTTTGAGAGCAATCTGGAATCATGCCCACAGAGTTATAAAACTGTATATACCTTTTGGCCCAGCAATACCACTATTAGGGCTGTTTCCCAAGGTGAACAGGGAAAAAGGAAAAGAACTTATAGATTTTAAAGTATTTATAGCAGCTCTCTTTGTGGTGGCAAAGAACTGGAAATTGTGGGGATGCCTATCAATTAGGAAACGGCTGAACAAGCTGTCGTACATGACCATGATGGAACACTACTGTGCTCCAGGAAATGATGAGCAGACTGATTTCAGAAAAACAGGGAAAGACTTGCAGGAAATGATGAAGAGTGAAAGGAGCAGAACCAAGAGAACACCGTATACGATAACGGCAATTCTGTTCAAAGAACAACTGTGAACGACTAAGTTATTTTCAGTATTATAAATACTCAAATCAACTACAAAGGACCTATGAAGGCAGATGCTATCCACCTCCAGAACAAGACCTGATAAACAGAAATATGCATAGTAAGGTTTTACACACACACACACACACACACACACACACACACACACACATCTGTGTCTAAAAAAGGTAGTCTTCTTCTCTAGGGAGGGCTGGAGAGGGAGGGAGTGCACAGCAGAGAAAAAAAGAAAACTTAGAAAGAAGCGCACAAACGCAGAGCAGCTTCAACACATGATGTGTAGGGTTTATTCCATAGTTTTTCAAAAACAAAAGTAAACTGTAAAATGGAGATTCGTGATTTCATAGTGAATCCTCTATTGGTGTTGTGGTGTATAAGTGAAAACGTTTTGTGTCTTGTTGTACTTATGCTCAAAATGAATTAAAAAATTTAAAAAGCCAATAAATTAGTCTTTCTAGAAGACCAAACCAAAACACACGTTTGCTGATCTTCCCTCAGTAATTAAAGGTACATGACAGACCTAAGAGAATCTAAGGATTCTGGAGGCCTGAGTCTCTAAAAAGGAAGCTGGAAGAAAGGCAATGAAAAATGTTCAAGAACAAAGCCCTCCCCACACAGTCACCAATGGTTCCAATGAAGACGAAGAGAGGGAGGCATCTAAAGAGACAGGGGCCTACAGAGATAACGCTGCCGTGAAGAGCTCAGATTTTAGGAGGACACACAGAACAGCTAGAAACTCTGGCAGGCTGACTGAGAAGGAGCACCAAAAGTCAGCGAGGTCTTCGGACAATGCTGAATGCCAATATTGTAACAGCCCTTTGAGAGGAAGGAGAGGAAGGGAACCAAGGCCAAGCTACCAGAGGACAAAGCAGAAGAAAGCAGGCTCCTAAAGGACTCAAGAGTGGCCTTTCTGACCCTGATAAGGGAGAAGTCAGAGAGCTCCAGAGCCAAGGAAGGAAGCCTGAGAGCGTTCAGCGCAGAGCAAAGTGGCACACAGAGTAGCCCCTATTCCAATTTTGGCTGCAGTCACGCATATCTAGAACCCAGAACAAGGGAGCCAACAGAGCTGAGGCTGACCACTGTGGTGAAGCCAGAACCACTGTCTTGTGCTAGGAAAGCTGCTCACAGGATGGAACATCCACAGGAGAATGCCAGGAAGGAGAGGCCACACGAGGCCTGGCTGAAGCATCAAGGGACCCGATTCTACCTCTGAATATTTATCTGAAGGGTTATCACCCTTCAGGGGTGGTATAATAATCAGATTCCTTCTGTTTGGCACCCAAGGGCAAAACCAGACACAATCAGTGGGATTTGTAGAGGCAGATTTTAGCTCACTATAAAGACAACCTGTCCAAAAATGCAGCTGATGGCTTCAGGAGTCACTGGAAGACTTTACTCATCAGAAGGAGTTTGCTCTAGGACCGCCTACAACCTCAGACCGAGGAGCCTCAGGGCCACGTCTGCTCTACTCTGAACATCATAAAGCACAGCACAAGCACCCAAAACCACACATGATGAATGATACTTAGCTTTTAGGATATTCAAATGTATTGAAGGCATTAATATTATTCTTGGGGAAAAAAAATAACTGTATGGGGTATCTACATTTGGACTTTTTTTTAAAATTTTCTCAGGAAATCAAGGCATCTATTTCAACCCCAATAAAATTCTAAAATATTTTTTTTGATTAACAATTAAATAAAAAATAACACAGCAAGTAGGAAGCATATGATACAGTCATAGCAAGATCTTACTGCCAAACCACAAAACACAACTCTTTGAAAGATGATGTCAGAATACTTTTTCTTTCCTAAAAACCATTATCTTGGTGAAAAGTTACCTGGCAAATGTTTTTCCTAGATAGATAATAAATACATATTTTAATGTTAAGCTTCCATGAGGGAAATTAATGTTACAATATTGACTTTTTTAATCAATAAAAATTTCCTGAATGTAGACTATGTATGAGGCACTAAGATAGAGCATCCCTTCCCTCAAAGAGCCTACAAATGTTCTAGGGAACTCAAGCTTTAAAACACATGAAAAACTGAATAAGCCAATTTGACAAAGGCTAGAATGAACTGGCCTACCCACCTGTACAATCCTGAGCAACGTAAATTGTTATTCCTTGTAAATCAGGCTGTCTCGCCTCTTCAACTGCTTTTCTATAAAATAAGAGCAAACATGTGATTCTCCTTTAAAACATTAAACAGAATTTTCAGGCAGGAACCAAAGACCACTTAAACACAACCAGTCCAGAGTTTTCATTTCTGGCAGAGCGCAAGACGGCCGCCTGAGCAGGACGGCCACCTGCGTGAGACTGAGCACTTCCCAGAGCCTCTCTCGGCCACGGCGTCTCCATCGGTAAAGGAAGGATAGGAACAGACCTCACCTCCCAGTGTCATTATTACACACTAGAGTACTTTTCAAATACCTTCTGATCACTTTAGGTTATCATCCAAATGTATTCAAATGCAACAAACATTGTTTAAGTTCCTACTCTGTGCAAAGTAAACAATACCAAAATTCATTTCAAAGGAGTTAAAATACCACACACTAAACGATTCAAAGGACAGCTGATCTAATTTCCTGCACTAACAACACCGAGTGCTGCTCCAAAAACCTGTGGTACAGACATAAGCACAGGTTCTCAAAGGCCCTGCCAACAGAACATGAACTCTAGGAGGGTCTACCATGTTAAAAAAAAAAAAGGCTTTGCGCATGGTCCTGGAGACAAATCAGGGCTGCTTCCCAAGGTCAGAGCCAGGACACTGGCCGTGGTGCTGAATTTTTTGCCCATAACAGCTCATAAACCAAAGACCGATAAAAATGAGTTGCTATGGCTCCCTTAGTCAACATTGAAAGGGATGTGCTGGCACAGAAGAGGTCAGAGGGTGCTAAGAAACCCAGCTGTTGCACCCTGCACAAACTTTAACTTGGCTGTCAATCTACAGAACATAAAGAGAGCTTGGATAACATCAACAGGAAGACTTTTCAGAAGGAGCCTCAATCTCTCTCTAGGGCTACTTTCCTTATGAAGCTTGTCACAACTTGCACACCTTCAGCTGGAAACTCGCCTTGTCAGGTCGTAAGGATTCCTGAAGAAATTTTTAAAATATGGCTTCTGCTTGTACTGTGCTTGTCCAGTGATCAGTGAGTACAGGAAATGAATCCCATTCATCTTGACATTCTCACTGTAAACAAAACCAGAACGAAAAAGGAAGCTGCAGCTAGACGGAAGGGCCAGACTACTAGTTCTCCTTCAAGAGGTGAGCGAAGAACCAGGTAGAGGGGGCTTCACAGTGTCCAAAGGCAGCAAAAAATCTCATTCTGGGGGACATCTGGTCATCTCATATTCAATGCTCATAGGAATCAGCAAGAAAGACCACCAAGAAAATAACGTCGGTGTGTATGCAGTGCTTTAAGGTTTGCCAAGTGCTTCAAAAATGTGATCTCATTTAATCCTCGCAACAACCTTGGGAAGCAAGAACCACTGTTATCTTCATTTTACAGATGAGGAAACTGAGGCAGACAGTGGGTAAGTGGCTCACCTTGGGTCACACAGCTATGAAGTATTTAAGAATTATTGGTAGGAAAATTCTACAAAAAACTTCAAAAGACCCTCCAAATTAAATTAATATAAACTTTGATACTTGGCGGCTTTGATATAAACATGGAAATAAGCAAGGATGGCAAAAAAATATACATCAAAAAGCATAAGTCAGGAATAATGAATGAGTTGGATTCAGGAGGACCTGAGTTCAAATCCAACCTCACACACTCGACACTTACTATCTGTGTGACCCTGGCCAAGTCACTTAATCCCAATTGCCTCATTAAAAAAAAAAAAAGCATGAGAGACTCAAAAGACGCGTGGACTCTCCTGAAGCCTTAGATTACTACGTCAGGATATAGATTTATTAAAAAAGGAGGGAGAGAAGGAAGAGGATGGGAAGAAGGGAGGAGGGGACAGAAGAGAATGAGGAAAGGGCAGAAGAAAGAAGAAGGAGAAGGAAGGGGGGAGGGGGAGGAGGAGGAGGAGGAGAGGCGAAAGGGAAGAGGAAGAAGAGAGGAGGAGGGAGAAGAAACATTAGTCCAGCAATCAGTCTGCCTCAAGGGGACGAGACGCTTCTGGTTCATCAGTGCCCAGCTGGCAGGGAGCAAAGTCTACCAATTACTCCCAAGCTACAAAGGCGTCGGCCTTGGGACCAAGAGTGGCATGGACGTGTGTGGCCACGGTTGTGGATGCTGACAATCTACTTACTAGGTTGGCTACAGCGCAATGAATTTGGGGCTGAACCCAATCTCTCTCCAACACCACTCGGAAAGCATCCATTCCAATGGCATCAGAGATCTTTGAGGCATAGAAACGAGAAAGGAAATACGCATCTGTATGGAGTACACATCCACATTAGATCTGCAGTCTTTCCCCAAAGCTCTTTTAACAGCAACTGTATTTTTAAAATTTATTCAGGAACCCTTATGACCTGAAGAGGTGAGTTTCCAACTGAAGGTATACAAGCTGTGACAAGATTCACATGGGAAATAACCATAAAGAGAGACTGGTCAACTCCCCAAAAGTATTTCTAGTGATGTTATCTAGGTTATCTTTATTTTCTATAGATTAAACTAGGTTCTAAGAGATATGTGCTACAGGCTCTGCTGTCATAATGAGAGGAAGGCCTGGAGGGTAGAAACGAGCCTTAAGAATTACTAGACTTTTCATAAATCCTGTGCCAACTTGGGAATAATAAACATCACTTGATTATTATGCTGATGAAACAAAAACTAGACAACAGGAGCTAATCCTCCCATTTTAATGGTTTGGTCTGTAAAATGTCTAAGTGTAGGAAGCCATGAGTTAAGACTTAAGAAAAATTTTAAATTGATCGATGTGTCTAACTGGAATAATTTCCATCTGCACCTTGACCTCTTATACTTGGATGACATATCAATGATTCAGTTTATGACAATACTGGGACATGCACAGGACACCTAAGACCACGAAAAACAAAAAATCAAGTAGCATCCAAATAAATGGCACATAAAAGGCAAAGCACAGTGAAATCTGACTTTCGACTTTTTTTCGCCCACACTGAATGTCACAGACCCTTTGCTTTTACTATGATATAATTATAATATTAATAGTCCCATACATTTACAGTTCACAAGAATTTGATGTGTGCAAAGAGATGCTGAAAACATCAATTTCAGCTCTGACATTTCATTACACTATCAGTACATTACAGCCCCCAGGTTACAGTATTAAAAAAAAATCTAGAATGGCATGCGTGTTCCAAGGTTGAAAGAGTTGTTAGTTTTTAGAACATTTCAATAAGGCGCTCTATCGACTGAAAGCCCGAGCTTTAAAGAGACCTTGGCCATTTGCAACCAACAAGGGGGAAAGTGGCCTGTCTCAGTAAATAAACTGAGCAGGGCAGGAACTGGCATGCTAGACTGCAACTCGACTCACTTTCTCTGCTTTGCAAATAAAAAGAATTCTTTATGGTGATGTCTTACAACTGTTAAAAATTAAAAGCTCTACTGCATCTGGAGGAAAACTCCTACTATCCTCTCTCTCTCTCCCCCCTCCTCTTTCTCTCTCTCCCCTGCTTTCTCTCTCTCCCCATGTCTCTGTCTCTGTGTCTGCCTGTCTGTCTCTCTCCCTTCCTCCCCCCATCTCCTTCTCATCCCCTCAGCTGTCTGTCTGTCTGACAAGCTATTGCATATGAGGAGAATCTTAAGAGAACTTTACCTTAAAATGTGTGCAACAACAGCTGGCCCGTACCAGTCTCCAGCCGCTTTCCCAGACTTTTTCCCATACTCAATTAGCTGGTGCAAGCCAAAGCAGGCCAGTGGGGAGTCCCCGAACCATGAGATGATTTTCCTGTGGCAGATCTCATTTCTGCCTTCAACCTCGAAACTCCTCCTGCGTGTTTCTTTAAGAATGGATGGTGGGCCTCTCTCTCCCACAAGGGATGCTTCAAACGAGGCGGTGAGTTTTTTTACAGTGTGAGAAGTCCATGATTCAGAATCTGAGGTTTCAATGTCCAGTGCATCTGGCCAGGTCCAGGCTATAGCAGTTTCAAAAGGAAATGTTCATTTTTTAAACAACCAAATTTTAACAAAACTAAATAGAGACTAAGCCTATTAAAACCAATAACTGTACCTTGTATTGAGTAGACCATAATTTCCAAATTATACTTGCAACTATCTCTACCAACTATCTCCAGTTTTTTCTATCAAAAAGCAAAGCAGATGTAGCAAAAGAGTATAACAACATTTATGATATCTGCAAATAGCAAAACAGTTGTAAAAGAATGAGATTTTTCTGTACTTATAGATTAAACTTAAGGTTTGTTTTTTTTAAGATTTTCTTTTTCCAGAAAAAATTTATACAGGCATCATGATGAGGTAAACTTGAAAGAGACTCTGGCCAGGAGTGAGGAGATCTGAATTCTGGCTACATGTATCCCAACTCTACCCCCAATGTTTGACCTTGAATGACTCACAACCTCTCTGGGTATCAGTTAGGGGAACGGACCAGATCAGGGGTTCTTAATCTGGGATTTACAGCGTCCATGAACTTGGATGGGAAAAAATGTTTAGCACTGCCTTCTATTAACTAAAAGCCCAGTTCTGAGCATGGGTCCCCAGGTTTCACCAAACTCCCACAGGGGCCCACGCCACAGAAAAGGATAAGTGTCTCCGGATGCCTATGCTCTCCAAGCTCCCTCCCACCTCTCATGTTCTAGTAACTCCCATCTTGGGAACAGAGTAACTCTCTATTTCTTTATCCTAACTCCCAAGTGAAAGTCTTCAATCTTGGTTGTAGAAGACAGATAATGAAACACGCCTCACTCTTCTCAGTTGAGAGAGGCCAGACAACAACCATGGAATGTTACGTAAGCTGTCAGGGGAGTTGTACTTAACTACTTTCCCATAAGGAAGAGATGTATGGACAAGGAAGTTTGAGGAAGTGATTGCAGTATAAAAAACACATTAAAAAAATACTAAGTCCGCAAAGGCCTAAATACAACATATAAAACTTGGCCATGACGAGCTACAGTAGAGTAACAAGCATACATTTCATTCCAGGTTGACAAAATGAGTCACGGAAGCTGAAAGTCAACCCATCAGAACCTTAAGAAATCATTCAGGGGCAGCTAGGTGGTGCAATGGATAGAGTACCAGCCCTGAAGTCAGGAGGACCTGAGTTCAAATTCGGCCTCAGACCAAACACTTGACACTTACTAGCTGTGTGACCCTGGGCAAGTCACTTAACCCCAATTGCCCCTTAAAAAAAAAAAGAAAGAAAGAAAGAAAGAAATCATTCAGTACTGGCCCACCATAGCTAAATTGCCTCAGAATAATATAAAGATTTTCAAAGAAAATCATTTTACCACTTCCTTTCCTAAACTATCATATTATTTTAAAACCCTTCTATTAGCAAAATCATAGAAATTATTCTTCATACTGAAGCCTTATGAAACATATATACATTATATACATACATATATATGTATGTGTGTGTGTATACACACATACACACAGTCTGTAGACACATGTAATTTAAAAGTTTAAAAACAGTTCACCAACACATGCTTTGGTAAGTAAATATTAGAGCTACATAATCAGATAATGTAGTTACCCTAAAAAAGATGAACTATGAGCTTGGTTCATCTTTTTTAGGATAACTACATTATCTGATTATATAGCTCATGACTAACCTATGAATCATATCTCAAAGTTTAATAGTTAAAAAAAATCAGTATTACAGTAGATAATTATGAAATAAATCAATCCAAAATATACCTCATTTAGGTAGGAAAGCTTCTAAACTAGCCAAAATATCATAGGAAAAAAACATTTTAAAGTTAAACTACCATGTAACATCTTTGAGAGCCACTACAAATCATAGAGGCTTCCTAAATTCTGAAGATGGGTTAGGAATTTAATCATGAAAAGGTTGGTGATTAAGGCATCTTTGCATACAATTAACAAGAAAAATGGAAATCACTTAAAAGTAAATGTGCTACAAAAACAACAATGCTTTAAAGCCAATGGGGGACAGAGACAGTGAGAGGCAGGGCCCTAGGGCTTCACTGAACTGTGTATTTCTCTACAATTTATACTTGTAGAGTATCTAGAGGCACCTGCCCAAGGTCACACAGCCAGGATGGTCAGAGCCAGGGCTTGAACCCAGGTCTTTCTAACTCTGCAGCCAGGTCTCTCTGGCCACTTTCACAAAGTCTCTCTTTTAAAAAAAAAAATGGAAAATGGCTGTTTGGGAAAATGAGATATGTGAACAAAGCCCAAAGGGGGCGCACGGGGGATGTGAGCTGGCAGCTGCCCGTGACCATTGAGGCCTGGCACACAAGCAGTGGGATAAAAGATAACACCCAGGAAATGTACAATCTGAAGAGGACATGGCTGGTTGGACAGGAAGGACAGCGAGCCTGAGGGCCACCCCAAAGCCCTGGAAGAAGGCCCCAGCATAGAGCCAAGAGCCAGGGATGGGCTGCTATCTGCAGAGGAAGTGGGAGGACACGTCCATCACAGACACAAGGGAAGACTGGAAAAAAAAGCCATACATCAGCTGAGCTATGACATAGCAGGCACCATAAAAGAGTAAGTGTTATGAATCTATTATTGAGAACTCCTGACTAGCAATCTGATTAACCTTGTGGGAAAGGATCAGAAGTTAGGCTTCCACAGCAGAACAAGGGGATTCTGAGGAGGCTTCCAAGATCTCGTGGATAGCCCCTCAACCAATCAGAAAGTGCCCCAGACACTCTGCAAAACAACTAGTTCCTTAAGAAAAGAGCCCCAGAGGCTAAACCAGTTGCAACCCATTGGGGTCAAGGATGGGGCAAAGGCTTTTCTCCAGTGCACACGCTTAATCAGCTTACTGAATATTAACTGACAAACCCTGAGGGCAGAGACAGCCGCCATTTTTGAACATGGGGTGTATGATCCAGGAAGGGTTAACATGACAAGGAGGAACATGGGATGGGTGGTTCAGGAAGAGTGTAACCCAAAATGACTTGATCCAACCCCAGCTCAGATGGGAGGAGGATGGATTTTACTCATCATTTAAAAGTTGACTCTACTTCTGCACTGCTGTGTACATGCCACGAGGGTGAGGTGCACCCGCTTCTAGAAGCGGAATAAAGGCTTTCCTTCACACATTCCTGTAGTAGAGGTTTTTGTTTCAGATTTTTCTAACAACCTCAATTACATAACAGGCAGATAACAGAAAATGTGGTGCAGAAAAGTCTAAGTGCCTAACTGCTCAATACCTCTGCTGCTCTCCCAGCACCTGGACGCGAGGGAGCAGGAAGGAGAGGGGGACGAGTCCAACTGGAAGACCTGGGCTTGGCTCATTCCTGGTGGAGGGAACCCAGAAGCCTTGTATGAACTGAAGGAAGCAGAACCAGGAAAACCATATATCCACGGATGAGAGAAAGACAAAGAGAGGAGATGAGAAATAGGTGGGGAGGGGACAGAGAGAAAGTGGATAGAGAAGGGATAAAGTGACAGAGACAGAGGAGAGAGAGAGACAGAGAGAGACAGAGAGAAGAGAGACATAGAAAGAGAGGGTGGGGGACTGTGGGAGAGAAATGCTGTATATGCCGTTAGAAGTGGTCAATGCTTCAGCTGTTTCTGCTAAAAATTTTTCTTTATTACCAGGAAAAATATTGGGGGTTAACCAGAAATACAGTGAAATTTTTAAAAAGACTTAGATAAAAAAAAATTTAAGAGGAAGGCAGTAGGGACAAGGAATACCACAAATTGAACTTACCTGACCCCAGGTGGGGCTTGATAGTAAATTCAGTTTGCTGTAGCAGGAAGTCCAGGAAATAACCCTCAGGGAATGTTAATGCCCTGGCTAAAAAGTATAGGGAGTTCACACAAGAACAGGAACAATTAAAGCGACATCACTTTACCTCGGCCAAGGAAATGGAGGACGAGCCCTTGGGCCAAGAGCATCTGGCCAGTTCTCAAGGTGCAGCCCCACCCACAGTCTGTGGTCAAGGCAGAGCCCTCAATTTGGGGAAATTCTTCTCTGTAGGTCAGCCATATTCTAGAAATGAAATCTCTACGAAACTCTTCTACATTCCCAGAAATGACTACATGGTCATTTTCTACTGGCCATCTTGATCTGACAGGTGCCGTTTCATTTTCTTCTGTAAGACAAAAGCAAGCAGATCATGCTCCACCTGGGCCCCGCCTCATGATGAGGAGTGCCAGGGCCTGAGGGCAGGCAGCAGAGCCTCCCCCTCACCCCCACCCTCCAAGAACACCACTGATTCAAATGCCGTTCTTCCCCATGGCCAGCACTGAGTAACTGTGGAACATCACGAAAGCCATGTAGCCTTTACAAACCAAGTATCTGTAGGAATCGTATCATCTGCCCTCCTGACTGCTGTGAGACACTGTAAACAAAAGTGTTTTGTAAACTGTAAGGCTTTCTATAAACACAAAACATTATGATGAATTTCATGATCAGGAGTAATTATTACTATTGGTTTACTTCATTTCATATATCATCCACTCTGAGATGACAGGAAGTCACCTCAATCATTGGTTCATGACACAGAAACTGGTCCGCCCTGATAAGCCTTTTGTAAATGAAATACAGTAAGTTTTCAATGTGTCACACTGTGCTTATGTCATGAATGCTCACACTAAAATTTTTAAATCCATCACCGTAGGCTACAGTGTAATATGAGTAATGCCAAGTCATCACCCCATTCTTTGGTGTCCAAAGATGATCTGTTCATGGGCATTAGCCCCGAAGAGTCTTCTGAACTAAGGTGTTTGTGAAAATTATACTGGATTCCAGGGCAGACACAACTATAAAGAGAACTCCACCTTTATTCGACAACCTACAGAGTGCTGGCATGAAACAAGGTTACATCCGTCAGGCAGACAGCAAGGCTTCTTCAGTGTTACAGAAATGTCCTGTGAAAATCTAAACACAAAGGATTTCCTGCTCCTTCTCCAAACAGTTCTACCAGCAGAGCACGAGAGACTAATTACCCTGAGCTTCCATGACTTCCTCCTCCAGCACTCTTGATCCAGTCATACTGGCCTCCTTCCTGTTCCTGCATCCACCAGCAGGCTCTCCTCCCCCAACACCTAAAATGCAGCATCTCGTGGTCCCCGGCCATCCTCTCCCCTCCTGGGAGGCCCACCAGGTACACACCCTTCCCCAGAAGCATGATCTGGACATATCTGCCACTGCTCCAACAAGGGCTGTGCCCATCTGCTCCCCTAGGACCCAGCTCATTGTCCCCACTGCTTTCTACACCAAAGGGCCCTTCTTGGCATCCTGGACAAATGGTCTTTCATCTCTGTGGGTTTTGTGGCTCAGTCTCCTTCACTGTCTACACTCCCCACTCAGCCTCCACAAGAATGTCATCCTGGAGGCAAGGACTACTTCTGCTTTTGTATTTGGAGCCTCAGGGCTTGGCATGTGCTTGCTAGGCTCACAGTAGGCGCTTCCTCAATGCCTTCACTTCTGTCTCTCTACTCACTTCCACTTCTAGGAATCCTCCACTGCATTTCCAGCTCAGTTCAACAGCTGCCTCCCACAAGGTATTTTTTCTGGGGTCCAGCCCTCAGTTATTAGGCCCTCCTTCCCATCCCAGCCCTTGTATAAGTGTGTGCTGACTTATCTGTCTACGCACTGTCTCCCCCAGTTGCAGGTAGCTGCCTTGGTTTTCAAGTGTCCCAGCACCTAGCATACTAGCACACAGTAGGCTCTTCATAAATCTGCTAATTTAAATTGCTGAATTCAACAATACAAAACCTCCTTGATGGAATTCACAGCAACATAAAAGAGACCGGTGAAGCCACTGCAAAAACTAGCCAGATTAAAAATGCACATTGCTCCGATAATGACATGCATTTGGACAAGGGCCCATCTAATTAGTCCATCAGTATGTGTATCTTGGATAAGCACTCCAGATGGAGAATAAACTGAGTCCAGAATTGAGCAGGAAAAGGACATGTGGCTTGACTTCCCTTGGGAAATTCTGAAGTACCTCCAATGGCTCCAAAGGCCCCACTACCACAAAGCCCTTTCTCATTAACATCAGCATTGTCCAGGGAACATTCAGAGGCTGTGGATCCCCAAGGGCTAGGGGAAGATGGAGAGCATCAACGGGGCCAAAAGCTGCAGAGAGGGCAATGGCAGAAGAGACTCTATGAGCTGGCAATTGAGAGGTAATTGATGACTCCGGAGTTTCAGATGAATGAGACTGGAAACCAGATTGCAAAGGTTCAAGAAGTCAATCAAAGACGATTTGCCATGAGCTTTCTCTACATCTCCCAGGCCCTTGACAATATTCCCCCCACACACTCTTCTCCTTTACTCCAAGACGTCATACTGGCAGGCTCCCTCAAACACTCTAATCTCAACGTGGCTTCTTTTGTGTAGTCTTCCCCATTAGACTGTAAGCTCCCTGAGGACAGGCACTGTCTTTCTTACTTGTAGCTCCAGCACTCAGCACAGTACCTGGTGCACAGGAGGTGCTTAATAAATGTTTACTGACCACTGGATACAAAGGAAACAAGACTTGGTCCCTACCCTCTGGTCTATCGTCCGGGTGGAGAAAAGAGAATACGTTTGAAATGGAAGCAAACAGAAGAGGGCAGCATGTCAGTAAGAGCAAGCTGCTGTTGATGAAGAGTGTAACTACTCAAGAAGACAGGCCAAAACCAAATTAGGGAACAATAAAAATAGCATAAGATAAGTAAATATTCACTATTAATTTCTGGATAAAATTTCGAAGCTGTTCACAAATTTTGGACTCTCACCTTCAGACTTGAAATGATAACATTTTCCCAGCAATAACACTGGTGAATTTCTGCTGAAATACGTCTTTGTTTTCAACACCCAGCCTAAAGAAAGAAAAAAAGAATGCTTCATCATGAAAACATGGCGATGAAAAATTACAAAAGCATTTTTCTCTGCCCAACTCCACGATATTAACTGACAGTTATCACTGTATGTGTGAGAAGGAGGGAAAACATTTCAACACAAATCAAAACAAAAGTCTTTTGTGCTTATTCATCTTCACTAAAATCAAGTGTTCTAAAGAAAGACACATTGTTATCAACAGAGAGAAAATGGTAGACAAATAATTGTGCCTCCTGTAGAAAGGGCTGGAGAACTCAGAATTCTCGACTAAGCCGCATTCCAGTGAAGTATTTTGGGGCACAAAGGGATTGAACGAGCTGTCCAAGACAAACAGCTGACACCAGTCCCTCAGTGTGGGCACGATTCTCTCATCCCGCAGCACAGTCTGCCCAGCTCCCACCCAAGGGTGCCCCACGAGACTATCCCCTGCAGCGCCTGTAAGCATCCCTGCCCCCATCCCTGTATCGCTTCAACACAGCCCGCCAACTCCCTAGCCAGCTCTCCCCACCCTCTCCACTGGCACCCCTCGAATTCCTGCCCCACAACGAACAACCTTCCCGTCCCTGTGGGCCTGGTTTCTTTTCCTCTTGCCTCCCCTCTCTTCCCTCTAAGATCCAGCCACATTGGCCTGAGAAGACCAGCCTCCTTCTCCCCACAGACCTGCAATGCCTGCATAGACCTTCCCCCGTGCCTTGAAGGCCCCCCTTTTCCCTTCTCCCTTGGCCTCAAAATCCCCAGCTTCCTCTGAAACCTCCCGTTGGAGGGAGGCCTTCCCAGCCACCTTGGTCTCTTCCCTGACCCAGCCGTAGGCACCCCCCTCCAAGGCTCCTTTTCCTCTATCTACACATTAGCTTTGCACAGAGGAAGAAGCACGTCATAAACGCTCGTGATCCTCTTCCCATCGGCTTGCTCTCACTGCATCCCTGGCCATCCTTTCCAGCCCTGGCTGTGCCTTCGCTCCACGGCCCCAACATCCTGGACATTGCTCCTTGAACCTCACTATCATTTCCAGACTTGCCCCTTGCCACCGCCCCTTACAAACCCCTCCTCCTCTGGTGCTCACTCTGCCTCCCGGAGCCCCTGACTGCACGCTCCCTCTCCTCCTCATCCCTGCCCTTCACCAGCCAAGCCCCCCCAGCTCCTCAATCTTCTCAATCCCACAAACAATTCCTCCTCTCCATCTCAGCCACAGTGACACCCTAGAGCTCATCATTACCCACAAATACTCCATTCTCTGATGAAAGTCTCTGACATTCCTCCTTCGGACCCTAACCTTTCCCCGCGCCTGACCCCTCCTCAGCCTCTTCCTCACCCTCACTGAGACCCCGAAACCCTCCGCCTCCCACCGCCTCCTAACGTCTCTCTCCCTTCTGATTTCACTTCCCTTTATAATCTCAACCCCATAATCACCCAAGTCAGCTCAGCTCCACACTCTCTTCTATTTGCTAATCCCTAGGCCCCTGTCCCATCACCGCTGAGCCCTTGCCAACACCAGCCCTGTGGGACTGCCACTCTCGACCTCCTCTGGTCCGGCTTGGGTGCTGCTAACCCGAACTGGAGGAAGTCACAGAAGCGTGCTGACTAGGCACAATAAAAACTGTTACTTCACCTCACGGTGTCAAGTCTCCCTCCGACAGCCTCCATCACGCCCCACGGAAGTCGTCCAAACATCCTCTTTGCTCCTCAGCCTCCCCTCCGTCTCGCCTTCCACCGAGGGCCTTGCCTCTCACTTCACTGAGAACGCTGAGCCCATCCATGAGTTCCTTCTCCTTTTCTCAAACAACCAACAAGCACTTATTAAATGCTTACTAGGCGCCAGGCACTCAAAGCTCTGTGAAGTCAACTCCTGGGCTTCTCTTTTTCCCATCAGTCTCTGATAATGAGGCAGCCCTTCTTGCTGCCAAGGCCAACTGCTCTGCCTGTGTCCCTGAGGCCGCCCTCCCATCTCCTCCAACAGACGGGAATCTCTTCAACCGTCCCTCCTGGGCCTTCACCTTCTCCCTATTGCCCACAAATGTGACTGAGCCTCCTCAGTCCTAAAACAACCTTCCACAGTCCTTGCCACCCCATCAAACTATCATTTTCTCTTTCTTCCATTTGTCTGCCAAACTCCTAGGAAAAAACCACCTCCCCTCACTGCCTCCACTTCTTTCCTCCTGCTCCTCAGCACTTTACAATCTGGGTCTCAGAGTTACCAACAATGTCTTAAACACCAGCCCTCATGGTCTTTCCTCAGTCTTCATCCTGCGTCTGACCCTGCAGACTGCCCTCTCCTCCTGAAGACTCTCACAACACTGTTCTGCCCTGGTTCTCCTCTCCATCTCCTCAGCTGGTTCATCACCTACCTCCTCGGTCCTGACCGTGCAATCCCCAAGGCTCTGGCCAGGACCCTCATCTTTTCCAGCTCCATCCTCTGACTTGTCATCTCAACACAAATGGCTCACAGAGCTACATGTCTAATGCCAGTCTCTCCCACATGTTCCAAAGGCATCTCAAACTCAACATATCCCAAACCGAAGGCCTCCACTCCCTCCAATTCATTCCTCCTCCAAATAACCTACATCTGTCAAAGACATCATTCCTCGATGTTTCCAGGCTGGCAGCTGCCATGTTATTCATCAACCGCCAACGCTCACTGTTTCTACCTTCACAACCTCCCTTCTATGTACTCACACAGTCAGCCCTTAGCTCCGCCACCATCATTTCTCCTTGGCCTAATCCGATGGCCTCCTCTTTGGTGGCCCTGCCTCCAGTCTCTTCCCACTCCACTCCATCATCCCACACAGCTGCCCAAGGGATTTTCCCATAAGGCTCCCCCAAGACATTGCCTCCTCCTAGCTCTGCAGCTAGGTCTGTATATCTGTAGCTCTGGGCCTGACACAGCAGGAACCAGAGGCCCTTCAGCATCCCATGGGCCCTACTCCAAAACTTTAACGGGCCAGACAAATGTTAACTCTTCACTATCACCTCCCGGCCTTTTCTTAAAGATTTCACTAACTATGAAAGTCGCCACACTCCCACAGGGTCAACATTCCCCACCAGTAAACACTGTTCACAGAGGATCAGAGGAACATCCCTATGATGCTCCACCCCTGGGAACTTACAGAACAGTGAATCTCAGAGGAAAATGCCGTATGCAAATCGTTTTTAACTTGAAGTGGAACCTCAGTCAAACAATAAAAGCTAACATTTCCACGGCACTTGAAGGCTTCCAAAGCACCATCTTTACATACATTATCTCATCAGTTCTCACAATAGTCCTGTGAGGTTGGTTTTACAGATGGGGACACTGAGGATAGAAGAGTTTATGTGCCACATAGCTCATAAATGTCTGAGGGAAGACTCAAACTCAATTTCTTCCTGAGGGAGAGCCCAGCTCTTCATCTACTTGCTGGTTTGTTTAGAGAAGTTACAAATGGCATCCAAGATTTTCTTTCAGTTTAAATAATTTCACAGTAATGATAATGAGACTTACTGTATTTCATGTTGTTCCATGCTGACATAAATTTAGTTTTCAGCTTGTCAACTTCATCTGTCCCTGCGGCCTCCATGTTCAACTAGAGAGAAAGCCATCCCTTGGCTGCGTTCTCGGGTGGAGCTTGTTTATCCTCCTTCACACACACAAACACAAGAGATCAAAAATGCTCATAAACAAAAATCTAACACACGCGCGCGCACACACACACACACACACACACACACATCTACGCATACACACACACACAACCAAGCACCGTAGATGATGCCAACTGTCCCCATGATACTTCAATGGTAAACACAACTAGGAAAGGGGCTATCAAAAGCTTCAATTTATAGAAACAGAAAGTGATCATATGTTCTATGAATATTTAAGTAATGGAAATATTTAATTCCAAATACACAACAATAAAATTATCACATAAAGGCAAACAAAAAATCTCTTCCAATCGCTCTCGACTGCACAACAAACCTGGCGAGAGGTATACATACCCCACTCGGGGGCTCATGAGCTACCCACACTTTGATTTTATTTGTATTGAGAGAAGGCTACTGGAATCCCCATAAAAAATAAGATATTTTCAGAATGGAACCATTTACTTATGTGAAATAGATCACTGTTTCCATATGAATTTGAAACTTTTTTTTTAATGGAGGCATTTCCTCCCATTCCCAAACTCTCCATTGCAGAAACAGATGTGTAACACGGAGCAGATCTAACTTGTACAACACACCAGGGTCTGTGTGTGGCTCAGAGACAGAACCTCTCGGAGCTTTCAGAGGCAAGTCAGAGGCAAAACTAAGAATGAGGGATATATTTTGAAGGGAAAATAAATTACACCTGAGAATACTTGCAGTTCTTTGCAATAATACATAGTTTACTTTCCATGGAAAGAATATTTCACAGAACATTAACTTTTCAAGTTATAAAGATCTCTTCAAAAGTATTGATGAAATTATTTTTCTAACAATACACATTTTATTTTACAATGTGCATTTTAAAATGCTACTAATTATGTTTTTTTGTTTTGTCATAAAGTCCCTTTGTCTTGGCCTTAAAATAAGCCATCCATTTTGTAATAAAGTTGTTCATTCTAGTCAGTTTACAAATGTCAGCAATAGCAGCCCCTGCCTTTGCTCTCTCCCAATGCATATTTTCAAAGAAAGCTATTTGACTTAGTAGTCAAGGAAAAAGGAAAAAGAGGAAAAACAGAACAGAACAAAACCAAAGAATTGATTCACAGAAATCATCCTATAAATAGTCAATTTTCCACTTACATGACCTTACATGACCAGACTAATTACATAATGATTCATACTAGGTAAATGTTAGAGGATGATGATAGATAAAAATAATAATAAATAGCATGTATAGAGAACTTTTAGGTTTGCAAAATGGTTTACATATATTAACTCATTTCACAATAACTCTGTGAGGTAGTTGCAATTATTGTTTCCATTTTACAGATGGAGAAATTGAGGCAGAGAGGTTAAATGCCTTGCCCAGGATCACACAGTTAAGTGAGTGAGACTTGAACACAGTTCTTCCTGACGCCAAACTGGGCACCGTGCAACCTAAAGCCTAGGAGACAGAGCCAGGATCTGTAACTTCATTGGCAGAGGGCACTCTAGGGAAGAAGACCCCTCTACGAGTACAGGTCAGCAACTCCACTCTAACCTCATCCTAGAAACTTAGCTGGAGCATGGGAGGTGAGAAGCCTCTCTAGGTGCGGCGGGCCAGGAGGTGTCAGGGGTGCACAGGTACAGAGGATACTCACTCACTTTATTCCACCACCTGGATGTCTTCTGAGAAAACAGGCTGCTATAAAATGCTACAATTCAACAGCTTGGCCACTGAGGAGCTTGAGTGTTCAGATGTATAACTTAGGCACCAGAAACTTAGCCCAAACTGCAAACCATAGTCTCTACAATCCCTACCACAGGTTGGTCCAAAGATCACATGTAAATATGTTGTTTGGAACTTGCACGGGAAAACCCATTTTTCCAGACAAACAACGTTACCTGTTTTAGTTTGGGTCCCGGGCTAGCCCATAAAAGCCTATTTAAATGATCAGCTAACGCAGAAGAAAGCCTAGAAAACAATACTCCTAAAATGCCAGCAAGTAAATCAAGCATGAAAATTAAAATTAGTTAAAAATAGTTTTTTGTTCCTTTTGTGAATGCTGACACATGAGAAAAAACAAGTTTAACTAGAGCAAGATGAAAAGGTAGATGAAGACTTTGAGGAAGACTCTTCATATGACTTCTGGGTCCTTTCAAGAACATTAGAGGATAGCCCTGGTTCTTTGCCACCTCTATCTTCATTTGTAAAATGTTATCTTTGATATCAAAATAGCACTTCAGATGTTTATCACACATTCTGACCAAGGAAGATGGTTAATAGAATGTGTAAATACCAGAAAACCGATGGCCTGCAGCACTGCGTGCCTAAAATCTTCTGGAAGAGGAAAATCAGGGACTGAAACCTGGAGTAAGACAGGTCTGGAGACTGCTCCCACACAGCACCAGCAGCTCAGGGCGCTTGGGCTGCTGCTCTCCAGAAGAAAAGTGTGACAGCTGAGGTGGCTTCTGGGCAGGGGGGATTGTGGGGAGGGAAAGAGGACAGAAAGGAGGCAGGGAACAAACAGCCATTTATACAGAGAGAAGTGTTCCTAGATGGCACAGTGCATAGAGCGCTGGGCCTGGAATCAGGAAGACTCATCTTCCATACAGCCTCAGACACTTACTGGCAGTGTGACCCTGGGCAAGGCACTTCAACCTGTTTGCCTCAGTTCCTCATTTGTAAAATGAGCTAGAGAAAAAAATGGCAAACCACTCCAGTAACTTTGCCAAGAAAACCCTAAATGAGGTCACAAAGAGTCAGAAATGATGGAAAAAATGACTGAACAATGCACATATGCACATACATATATAACAGTATATATGCATGTACAACACATACATAACATATATGTATCTGTGTAACATGTATAACACATGTGTACATGTGTATATGCCTATGCACATGTGCACTGTGTGTATATACGCACACATGTAAACTGTTTATATGTCTTGGATACCAAACCCTTATCAGAGAAATTTCATACAAAGCTTTTGTTTTTGTTTTCCCATTCAACCATTTCCCTTCTTATTGTAGATTCATTCCTTTTGTCTGTGCAGCTTTTCGGTTTCATGGAATCACAGTTACCTATTTATCTTCTGTAACTTCCTCTAACCTTTGATTAAGTATATACATCTCCTCCCCACAGTGGCAGAACATGATCTCCTTCTCTTCTAACTTTCATAAAGTGTAATCTTTAATGGTCACGTGTCCATTTAGAATATATTGTGGAATATGGTGTTGGGTGCTGATCTGAATAACTGAGCTAATCTCTCAGACTGCTTTACAGTTTCCCAACAGTTTTAATCAAATCCACAGTTCTTCCCCAAGTAATTTTTGTTTTGTGCTTCATTGAGCACTGGATAATTAAATTCCAGTGTTTCTGATTCTCCCTGGACTAGTCTGGTCCATTGACCTATCTTTGTTTTTTAATCAACATCAAATGGTTTTGATGACTTTCACTTTACAACATAGTTCGAGGTCTAGAAGTGCTATTCTCCTTTCATCCCTACCTCTTTTCATTACTTCCCTTGATATTTTATATCTCTTATTCTCCCAAAGGAATTTGTTACTATTTTATCAAGTTCAGTAAAGTATCCCTTTGATAATTTGATTGATGCAATATTAAAAGTATAAATTAACTGTGGTAGTATTGCCATTTTTATTATACTGGCACGACCAAGCCATGAACATTGAATATTCTTCCAGCCATTTATTCTTTATTTTTAGGAGCAGTTTTTAATTGAATCTATAAATGTATTTTGTGTGCTTTGGTGGATAAATCTCAAATATTTTATATATTCTGTAGTTATTTGGAATGGGATTTCACTTTCTATTACTGCCTCTTGGATCTTATTATATTGAAATGATGGGGGGTGGGGTGCCAAGTGGAGTAAGTGATTTGCCCACAGTCCCACAGCTAGTAAGTGTCTGAGGCCAAATCTGAACACAGGTAGTCATGACCTCAGGGCCAATCCTCCATCCACTGCAGCGCCACCTAGCTGCCCCAGTGCTGATGATTTTTGAGGGTTTGTTTTGCAGCCTGCAACCCGCTAAAGCTGTTGTCTCACTTAGTATGTCTGTTGATTCCCTAGGATTTTCTAAGTTAGCCATCATATAGGCAGCAAACAAGGACAGTTTTATCTGCTCTTTATCTTTGTACCTTTAATTTCTTTCTCTCGTCTTATTGCTATTACTAGCACTTCCAGAACTATATCCGTAATGGTGGAGAATGCAAGCACCTTTGTGCTTTATTTCTACATGGAATTTACTTGTATATGGAATCTCTATGGTACTAGAAAAGGTTCTAGTGTATCGTCATTGCATATGATGCATGTTTTTTTGGTTTTGAGTACTTTCTATGATTTTTTTAAAGGTTCCTCTATGCCTACATTTTGAATCACAAATAAGTGTTCTATTTTGTTAAAGGCTTTTTGGCATCTATTGAGATAATATTATAGTTTCAGATTTTTGTTTCTTTTTACTACAATTATGTTGATTGTTTTCTTAATGTTGAACTATCCTTGGATCACTGGTATAAATCCAAGTGGGCCATGATGAATGATTTCTGGGATGAATCGCAATAGTCTGATAGGATTTTGTTTAAAAATTTTGAATCAATATTCATTAATGATACATCTATAGTTCTGTGTTTTGTCCAACCTTGGTTTGGGTATTAGGACTATCTTTGTTTCATAAGAGGAATCTAGTGGGGTGCTTTTTTTCTCAATTTTTCAGAATAACTTGTGTAACACTGGTACTAATTGTTCTTTAAAAGTTTATAGAATTCTACTGTCAATCCATCGGGAAGAAAAGCTTTGTTTCCCCACTCTGGTAGTCCTTTATAGCTAGTTCTACTTCCTTTTCTGAGCTTGGATTACTTAAGATCTCTACTTGGTCTTCTGTTAAAGTGTTTTATATTTTTAAGGTATTCTTCTAATTTGTGTTCTCAGTTTTGTTAGTATATCACTGTGGTATAGTAGGTTCTGACAATTCTTATTATTTCTTATTAAT